CAACTAGTTTTGTTTTAGAAGTTTCACAACTGTAGTATTAATATCTGATTTCTAAATCATTCTGTTTCTGTGCTCTTAGTTGTCTATTCCAGAATAGTGTTATATTGAACTTATAAATATTCATATTACTTAGCATACAGATATTATCTCTTATAGCACTTTTCACTCTTCTATTAATCTTCTTTGATGAGGACTTTACCAGTATAGTGATATAAAGTACGTACACTGGTTGTTTTAATGATTAGTAAGTACTATAATGTTCAAATTGTAAGCAGCTGACGAGAAACAGCGAGATAAAATGAATTCATGTTATTTTGCTACGTTAATTTTTCTTGCTTTATTCGAATTTACTCATTTAAAAAATTGTATAAAATTTAAATAGTTTATTGTTTCATAGCTCTGCAACTGTAACCTCCTTGAATCCATTGTTTTTAAATAAAACTCTGGTACCATGGTAGTACTTTCAATTTGACATTTTGGTTTCCAATTACCATCAACAATCCAGTATGGGAAACCGTTTCACAAAATAGAATTGTACAGCCCAAAAAAATTAGTCATGGTGTTTTATTTATTTATCTTTCTAAATTTATGCATACGGGAGTAAAAAGACTTGAGTGTGTAGTTAACAAAATTGATTTGTTATTGACGTGTTTTGCTGTGTGTAGTTTTTGTAACTAGAAATCTTTTTAAATGCTATAACCAACATATAATGTAATAGACTTTAGATTTTTTCAATAAATCATTAGAATAAATTTTCAGAAAATGCTTTTGAAATAAAGGAAGGGAATTTTTCCGATTACCCGAACTCAGTTGTCTTTGATTTTTGCAGTGTAATATTTAAATCGATCCTACTGTTCTATGAAATTTCGCTTTATGGTCAGAAAACATAATGTTTTTATTGATTTGAAACATGTGATCTTTTGATTTTCGTCAGTTAAATTAGTAAACTCTTTGTAGATTGTAATTATAAATATTGTGTCAGTGTTATTGAACTGTCAACTGTAATTTTAAAGTTAACTTTTATCTTGTCAATGAATTTATTGGTTCTAAGCAACGCTTGTACTAGCGTTGTTACTGCATATGTCGTAACACATATTCGTTCGATTGACACCATCCTTACTGAATGATATGTTCATTGGTTTGATAATCACTAAATTGGTTCAAGTTATGACAATACACTACGAAAATATTGATTTTCAGCAGTTGTTTACATGTAAGGATTTTTTTTGTGTGTTTTAACTGGATTTACTAATACTAAACTAATCAATGTATGATTGATGTTAAACATTTTTTTCCTGTACTATTTGTGTTTGCGAGGAGGAGGCGGGGGCTCACGTTTTGTTTGTTTTTAAAAAAAATAAATCCTAACTATCAGGAATACTTAAAAACTGGATTAACATTTTATGGTTCTAGGTGTTTTTTCTCGAACTCAACATACATTGTTTATACTATCAGGGTAATTCAATAATAATAAGAATAATAAACTATTCGATATCGGTTTCTAAGAATCTTATTATGTTATAGTTAACATCAAGAGATTAATATGTGTGAAACATATTGACTCTTTAGATCACCTTATCAACAGACGAAAGTGAAAGCTTTTGGCAACAAGGTGATTATAAATATGTTCTACCAACAACTGGCAATAAAGCCCCAGATCTGAAAGACTTACCGGCTATTTTGGATTATCCTGTTCAGTCAGTCATTTGTAAACCTTCTGATGGTGAAACTTTAAAAAACACTGGGACTGTCAGTTTATCAGGGTAGGTTTTCAAACGTTTTTTTTTAAAAATAAAAATTGTCATACTTTTTTTTTTCAATTAATTTGTCATTCAAATTACTGTTATATTTTGATAAATAAGTGTCATTTATTAAGTGACTCCTTACTACAATGATCATAATCGAATCAAAATTGAATCAGAAACTTAAGAAAGCGAAATTTTTGTCTTTCATAGAGTCTATCCAAACGAAATCATTTATCATAGTTTTTAATGAAGCTCACTCTAATGCATATAACTAATATGAACTAAATATTAATTTCTTTCAGTATATGTAGTTCTTTTGCATTTTGATATTATTAGTTCAAAAAATTTTCTAAGATGTTTATTGTGAAATTGTAATTTTATGCATGACATATGTTACAAGAACTGAAGATATATGGATAATAATAATGATGATGATGATGATATAAATCACTTGCATTTTATCAGAAGTAATTCAAAAATATTTAGAGACTTTTTCATGTAAGGCGATAAATATTAATTCAATGAATATGAAAAAAATTTTATACTAATAATGTACTGTCGTAAAATCTATTCTAAATAGTTATTGTATCTTTTCATTAATATAAACTCAAGTAATTCAAAATTTCAATAAATAGAGCATAGTTTAAAAACAAATCAGTGAAAAATAAATTTTTCGGAAAGCTAAATGGTAATGCATTTTAAAATGAGACTTGGTAGAAAATTTTAGAATATAGAGGATAATTGTAATGCAAAAAAAAACTACGAAATTATCCTTCCTTATTCTTAGTTGATGCAATATTCTTAATTGTAGCACGGAGACTTCTTATCATATGTTCAGTATGTTCTGTTCATACCAGCCTTATGTATTTACATTTACACACATGCAATTAAATCGGTGTACACAATTAGATTTGGTGTATATTGGTTGCTTGTATATTTTTCTCGTAGTACTGTTTACCATATTGCGCGGAATGGACGACATATGTGAACTAATGGATCTATGTCGTCCTTTAATATTTATTATTTTAATGTATAAGGACGAACATAGAAAGATTATATTGAGGATAACATCATTTTAGCCATTTCTATGTGATTTCATATAAAATGTTTTATGTGTATATACTAAATGCCTTTACACCTTAGCTATGCATTCAGTGGGGGTGGACGTGGGATCATTTCTGTTCGCGTTTCTGCAGATGGTGGCAAGACTTGGCATGAAGCGAAATTGTCACCAGTCAGTCCTCCTGCAGCACAAGATCATGTAACAAACACAGACAGTAATTCTACTATGAAAAACCGGAGTGTTAAACAGTGGGCATGGACATTATGGACTGCTGAGATTCCTATTCCAAGCAAGTCTTGAATATAATGTACTGATGCTTACAAAGGCTTTTGTTTATCTAGCTTTCGTATTTCACAGAGCTATGATTCTGTGATTTACACAATTCAGGGTGTCAAATCATGTGTCTAATTAATGATGGTTACCTTCGTGTTGTAATCTTTAAGTCAGATTTAAACATTCGCCATCAATAAGTTTCATCATGAAATTGGAATGTCTTCATCCGTTTTGACTTTGTTACCTCCTCTAGCTCTTAGCATGATCTACAAATTTACCAGGTTAAACCAATCTAAATTTTTGTTTGCTTCGTGTCGTATTTTCAGTGTTCAAAGTTATTAATCTCTTTTAGAATCTTTGTACAAGCTTTATATATCACGGACTGTGGGACTAAGTGGCCGGAGATATTCGTTGTAGTTCCTGATATGATCTTGATTACGTTTAAGATTTAGTAATTTGAAATTGGACGAGATTGTAGGGAAACTGTGACTGACTAAGGTTGGGACAGTTCAACTAAGTGCAAAGATATCTATGCCGTTCTTCTAGAGTCCATTATCCACCCTTGGGCATCAGGGTTTTTGTATTTGTGACTAAAATCAAAAGTTTTTAGTGTCTATTGGTTTAGTTGGAAATAGATAAGATGCCGGTGTTTTCGGATTGCGGACTTAATCGGTTCAGCAATAATATGTTCCATGTATAATGTTCATGCTGAGTTATTTAGATTATCTGTTATTTTGGTCACCGATGACTAATTTAAATTTTATTTTTCCAAAATATTTTTTACAGAAGATTTTCGGGAAGTAGAGTTTGTATGTTCAGCCATTGATAGCTCCTACAACACTCAACCAGAAATCTGCTCAGCTACTTTAAACATTCGCGGCTTACTGTCAAACTGTTGGCATAGAATAAATGTTAAATTTGACACTTCGTCTCTTGACCAATGATTATTTCTTCACAAAGACAATTTTTAATTTTCAGTTAACGCTTTTGTACCATTATGTAACTTTTTTGATCTTAAGAGTACTTTTCACACAATAGAGTTTTCATGGAACAAAATTAGTATTTGTGAATTTGGGTTTGATTGAAATTCCTGGGCAACATTTTTGTTCGTTTTAATAAAGTTCATTCAGTCAGTCATTCATAAGCAGTGTGGAATCTTGAGTGTATGCTTCAGCGTAAATTGCTATACTGCATCAGCACAGCGAGATCGTTATAATCCAATAGTAGAGTGGATTATTCAAAATAAAGAAGGGTATAACATCTATGATTTCTGTGCAGATGATGCGTAAAATTGCTTCACCACAAGCAAATACTTCACATTAATCCTTTTCGTCGCTGCCCTGAAGCTGAATACTTCTCCCTTCGTTAATTTAATCCGTGTTTGTCCGGAGCTCGTCCTAGAAAGGAGTTTTGCCCCACTTACGTGCTAATGACGAATGCGAATCGATTCAAGTTTCGTACGAACTCAGTGGAGAGATAAGACAGCGTCTCATCACCTTTTTAGTTTTTCCTAGGTTGATCCTTTTTTAGAAACCAGAGAATTTTACGTTTTATTGCTATTTGCTTGATTCTATAGTGTGTATCGAGATAAAATCTGTTCAGATCTCATAAGTGTGATGCGTTCACTTTTAGGGAATATTGTGAATATTTCGACTTACCAAGCAGATGAATGAGTGGAGAGACTATATGTCTACGTGACAGTAAGTAATTTTATTTCAGTACTGACTCATACAGAATAAAAGATTCAGAGTTATGGGTACCTAATATTTTGATATGAATGTAATGTTCTTAGTGCTTTGATAGTTATGACGAATGAATACTGGTCGGTAACGGCAGGTACTCAGTATTCCGCCTCTGAGCTTGTATAAGGCACGACATTGTGTCTTCCCGTCAACTTTTCCACACAACGGAGCGGCGGTTTTTTGTATATCAGACAACGTAGGACGGCTGTCTGCGTACGTGCGACCACTGCCTCTGGTGTCAACTCAAATACATCTTCGAAGGAGCCCTCGCCCTCCAGAGTTAGTTACCTGTCCACATGTATTCACACGAGTAGACTCAGTGCGCAAACTTTCGCAGCAGCTTTACGAAGGATCTTTCCACGTGATCTCTCTATACGCAAAGACCTTCAAAGTTGATCGGCACGGTCAGCATTGATCGTCTAAACCCGTGCACGTCAATGACAGTGCCCCACCTGACAAATCGGGATTCACTGCAAGATCCTTCCAACTCACTGGCAGGATCCAAATATCTACCTCGGACTTCACGCTAGATACCTCAGGGAATTTTATTTCCAGCTAAAGGTATCAAATCCATTATTTTAGTCCGGATTTTATGGCCACTAAATTTCAATGCTGTAATTAAACCCACTTTTGTTTCGATTTTCAGCTTGATATGTCATAAACGTCCTATTCTTGGGTATAATATACTCATAAGAGGTGATTAATCGTTAGTTATTAGTTTTAAATTCCTCACCGCTGATTTTGAACCATCCGTACTTGTGTTAGAAAATTTTAGAATGCCTGAAGGAAAGAATACCTGAGGAGAGTTGAGATGAAGTTCGTGATTATTCACCGTCCACAAACAGTTCTGATACTTTTCTGTTCCGATACCCATGTCGAGAATTTGAAGATATTGATATCACTAATCAGTTTCTCTTCTGTTGCAAAATTCAAAGACCTAGAGAGAAAATTATGTGATATTATCTAGTGTGTAAATTCCTAATCTTTTATAGAAGAAAACAATCATTGGGGCAAAAATTACTACCCCCAGTGATAAAGTCAACTACTATTTCAATCAGCGTAAGGCCGCCCTACTGGATTTTACAGTGTAATGACTCTTGGTAACTGTCTAACTGTTGTTTCACATTCGATAATAAAGTAGTATTTAAAAACTGATAGTACCACCAAGTTTAATATTTCTTCTCTACAAGATTTACATTAATATCCAGCTTATGCAAACTACTTACAACTGAAAGATAGTGTGTTTGGATTTTTTTCTATCACACTTTACGATTATTAGCTCCTACTTCTGATTGAGTGGATGCACGGACGATGTACAGCACGTTTGAGACCTCTGTGGACGTATCCGGTAATGTATGGGCTGTTTTTGGCTCGACTTGTATCGATTTTTATAAAAATGCACATTTCTAGATAGAAATCCTATATAATGTCAAAAAATAGCTGTCTTTGGGTGGTTGTAAAAGAAAGCTGGAAATCAGATGTATGCGAATGGAATTGCAGGTGATACTTTCACTGATGAGCTAATTGACTTTTGATATCACGAGCAACGAAGGTACTCACTTTGAATTTTACAGAAAATACGAAAGGGATAAAACACGAAGAATCGATACTTAGATACGTCGTTGTTATAACAACTGACATTTGAATCGATAACCAGTGAAAAGAGTATGTGGGATTGGTATACAAAAATTACAGTTTTATTATCTGTTATCAGATAACCAAGGTCTGGGTGAAACTGGCAGCTTTAATTACGTTTTCTATTTGGGTTAATTACTGCGTACTTTGTTACTTAATTTTCGAAGTTACAATAACAGGTTAAACGTGGAGAAATTCGAATACTTCACTTCTATCTGAAGTTTGTGCTGACAATGTTGTTCAGAAGAACAATGAAAGCTTCACAACCAAAACACTTAGCTCAGAGAACCAACCACCACCATCACAAACTTACAATAACATTTAACGTTTTTAAGTTGTGTTGGGAAACCTTGTAGATTAGCATTGTATTATCCAGATCGTTTGACTAGACTAAATTACGAAGACGTTGAGGATTACATCACAGATGGCTGAAAAACGGTTTTATCTACCGACTGTCACTAAATCCGATATATTACCTCACAAAACCCAGTCGTCTGACATGACGTCAGTACAATTCACACATTCACGTCATTATTGGTTTGATAATCATAAATAGGAGAAAGAGTCCTGCTGTGCAAAAAAGAACTAGTGGAACATGTACTCCTCTTTCTATTTATCGATGATCTTTGAGAAAACATCAAAAGGTCATTTCTACATAAACAGAGGTCAAATGATGTGAAGGTGAATCGGAAACGCTTCTAAAGGGCTTAGTGTTAACAGACGATTGACTTAATACATAGGTTTGACATTTAGCGCCCGACGAATTGCAATGGATTCGATCCGAAACGCTAGAGGATCAGTCGGTAGGCTGCTTTCTCAGCAGTGAACGCCTCTTTACTGGCTTCTATTGTTTAATTGAGGTCGTCCAAACTAATTCTTAGGAGTCCTTCATGAAGAACTCTTAAGTAATCAAGAGAGTACTTAACTACAATTTAATAGCATCTATCTGTTATCATTAAACAAACCTAGGTTGCTTTCTGGATTCATCGGCTGATCCACTCTAACTAGAAACGAAAGCACGTGAAATTGGGTCTTTTGATAGCGTCAAGTCAAGAAGAAAGCAACCTCTGTTGGGAGTTTGCTTTCCGTGTGGCTTAGATTGATCTTATTTACTAAAATTTCTGCAGTCCACAGTACTTATGTTAGTTATTTTGTTTTATTTTGTCAATCTTCGAATACTCAAAGGTAAGCTACAAGCGTTTTTTTGAATGCGTAAATATCAAGGCGGAAATGATGTTCCTAGAATAAATACAGCTTTCCAGTAGATAAAAATTCCTAATACTGGGAAGGTAATTTTAAATTTAAATGTTCATAAGAACAGATAGGCCGAAGTTTGTTTTTTACAGCAAAGTCAGGAAAATGATCTTACAGTTCTGTTTCTTTGAGTGTCTTATGTTAGTACATGTATTATCAGGTATTGACGAAAATTTACTAAATTTATTTAATAAGTTACATACCCGCCAACATTTGTCGAAATGCCACCGGGCGACAAAGTTTTCATACCTGGTGAAGCTATTCGTCTTCCATGTGTTGCAAAAGGTTCTCCTTCACCTAAGTGAGTTGCGAAATAAACATATTGGTTGTTTAGATATTTTTGGTACAAGAACGGACAATATTTTAATTGGGCGGCCAACACTGGGAGATATACAAAGTGGCCAGATCATGGCACACTCGTGATTGCCAGACCAGGAACTGATGATGATGGGATGTACCAGTGCGTTGCAAAAAATCAGTTTGGAACCGCACTTTCCATTATTGTTAATGTTAAAAGAGCAGGTCAGTATTTTGTGAGTTTATCTTCAAAAAGACACATAACAATCGGTTATCGTTGTGACGAACACCTTATAGCACTATAGAAAACTCTATTCTATATTTATTTACAAGAGAGGGATTATATACCAAACAAATTGTTTTAAACAGATACTCAAAAGTCGTTCAAATGAAAAATGGTGCTTATGGATAAATTCATATTTTTCCATATCTGAGTTTGTTTAATAGCAACGATTGCTTCAGTAAGTGTTGTTTCATTACCACAATGAAATACTAGAGAGGATTTATCAATTCACTTTTCATCGTACGTTTCATCAATCCTGATGTTCAGAGATTTGAAAAAATATTGGCACAGGTTTATAGTGTTCACTTGACGTTTACCAAATTAAACCGCCTATGACGAGAGCCAGATATCAGCCTCCTAGCTTATAGGCAACTATACTGCATAGAAGTTTTCTCTGCTTCAAAACGATGAAAACCAACCCGTGAAAGTGTAGAATATTTATCATTAACTGCTTTCTAACCAAAGATATCTTCAAAGTGTTGCTTGCATACGTTGGGACTACAGAGTAAGCAGGTCAAAGGTTTTAGTTAAGGATGGCCAGTGGGTCGATGATGCAGTAAATCTTCATCAACTAGGGTGATTGGAGAGTGAGTTGTGCAAACTTGAGCACTGTCTAAAAACAATGGAAATGTCTTCTGACCTAGAAGTGGGTTAGAAGAACAGCATGGGGGACTAAAATTAAAAAAGGCATCAGTCTTCAAAGTTGAACCTGTTAAGCTGAGGGGTTCAGGTTGATGGAGACTACTTTGTTGAGGTCATTGTGATTATTATAAGTACCCGTTTTGTATGTTAAGAGGAGTGGATCAGAAACAATCTCATTAGGGCAGATGAATTTATTGTATGGTTCTATGTGGATCTTGAGTTTAAGAATATCCATTACTTTCCGTTTCATGACTTTACTGTTTCTTCTCGAAAAGCATTATCTGTAGCTAACATTTTCTATTGACAGTGATACTGTTACTAATTCTACTAATCTAGAATTTGTTCTTATAATTCCATCTTGCCGTATTAGGATGGTTTAGTAACTCGAGTCGATGCATATATACTCCAGATTCTAATTTTCCTATAACTAGCTTAATATAGCTCTGGACAATAGTTGTAATTGTCATAAATTCGTTTGGGTAACCTTACTTCTGAGGGATTCGGCTTGGAAAACGATTAAAACAAGCATAAGAAAGAAACTTATAGACTTTGGGGCCTAAAATTATCGTTTTAAAAGACTCAAAGTAAGTTCTTGTATGTAATAATCCATAATTAGGTGTTTATAGCGGTTGCTAACCTTTTACACTTGAGTTGCTTAACCACACCAATATGCTGGTATGCTCACCAACAGTTTAGTTTCCTATTCTGTTTAGTTGAGGATAAAGTTCTTTTTATGATATGGAGGATTGAGAAATAAGAAATAACAACGCATCCCTAAAGCATGTGAACCCACCTTAATTTCAGATAACAAACAGTCACGGTCATTCTGGAGCAAAGTCGATCTGATTTATATGTATTCTCTGTGGTCACATGATGTGTATACTGGAGACTTCAATTCATTAATAGAAAGCATTCAGGAATGTTTTCACGCAAAGTTTATCGTTTATTCTATCCACACTTCAGGATTATGTAGATCCTTGCCGATGAGTCAAGTTACTTCCTTGTACACTATTATTAAGTCATAACGGATATTTTGCCGCTTTGGAGTCTCATATATATTTGTATCGAATAATAGCACGTAATTAAATTCATCCATCTTCTCAGAGTTTTGCAGCAGGTCAAGAATTAAACATCTTCGTCAATCCCCGCATAATTCGCAATCTAATCGACAGGTTGAAGAATTCGTGGACATCACAAGTGCAGAGAAGGGAAGATAGATGAGACACTTGATGAATTCTTGTAAACCTATAGAAAAAAAGCTAATCTCATCCTCGTAGTTAATTTTATTACTTCCTCGAAGCGCCTGCCACCAATACACTGGAAATAATTTTGCCTCAATCTAGTATAAGGACCTTGCCACGATAAGCTGGCTAGTTGACAGCAGCACCTGAGTTCGATTATGATAAAACGGCCTTGACAGATCCGAGAAGACTATTCTATCACCGGATAGGTTAGCAAGAGAGGTACACTAATAATTGGCTAGAACAATACTCGATTTACTTATGATTCAGTATACGGAAAAAGACACCTGAGTAGGTACATATTTCCGAGATCATAATGCGTGAGGATTCAGAAAGTACAACTATGTCCAGCCTAGCAACTTAGGGTAGAAAAGTAGAGTGTGGAGGTTTATTTTAGGTCACAATTATTTCGAAATAAAACAGAGTGTGACAATCAGTCATATATCAACCTAAAACCTAAGATTGACAATATAAGATAGGAACAAAAATAAATACCAGTATTTAGCAAACTTCGATTTGAGCACAATAATGCCTCGAAAGTAGGCTTCCTTTGTTCATCACAGTTTCATTTTTCCCTAATCACGACATTGTTGTTTTTCAATTCCAATCTTTCACTGTGTAGAACTTGGGGATTTCGAGCTAACGAAAGAACAAAAAGTACGTGCATCTCTGGGCCAGTCAGTCAGACTTCCTTGTCAAGTTCCAGTTGGTTATCCACCTCCTGTAGTTACGTGGCAAACCAAGAAAAATGCTCAAATTCATTATTTGAAAGAGACAAATCGAAGAGCAACTGATATTAATGGTAGTTTTGTTTGAATGCTTTCAAGTTTGTTCTAAAGTTATGAAATAAGAACTGTTTATTACGTGATAAGCTTGTATATAACTACTACTACTACTGTAGTGAAGGAGAACACAAGTGAGGGCAACCGAATTGTATTTAACGAAAATTACAGAGTTACTCAGTAAAATAAGAAAACCATATCGTAAAGGGTTAATTTGCAAATCTTCAATCCATTGTCTGACATTTCACTATTCATGCGTTTCATACAAATTCCATTGTGTTCCCATTCTTCCTTTCTTGATCTTCCCCCATCTTCTTCTGCCAGACATTACGTTTACACTCGCGTCATATACTACTTATAAGTAGCACGCATCACACTACTACTACTACTACTATGACAAACCACTACACTTTCTTCTATAAGATATACTCCCTAAAGTAGGTGCAAGAAAATCTAAGTTTAAGTAATAATAAAGCAAAATAAAATTTTTAACCTGAATTCTGTGCTTGTTATTTCACAAAGAAGATGTCACTAGATTCTCAAGTTAAAAATTCGTAATATGTAGTATGATTTTGTGCTTTTAATTTTCCGATTGAATATTTCTGTCTATAAGTTTTTTTATTAGAATGATGTTTAAACGGTGACTAGTCAGTTAATATATTGTTTGATTCTACCACTGGTAGCTGTTAATTATTGATGCTTATTCTGATAGTTAGTTTACTGCCTTCCTAAATTGCAAATTTGCTGATGAGACTCTTCCGTAAACAGAATTTAAATGGAATAAACCAATAGTAACGTATCTATCCAAAACCAAGTAATGCATAACTTTTGTGTACTTTAACAGTAAATTTTATCATCTTTTATGCAACTTGGATCAGTTGTAAGAAAATTCATAAATGGTTGCTTTGTCATTATTGGACAAAACTGAGCTTTGTTATTAAAGTCTTAATAGACGTGAAATACTATTGAATAATTTGTTTCAGTTTTCGTTGTCTTCATATATTTACTTATAGCAATGCTTCTAAGTCTTTGAAAAATACAGAAGAAGTTGAGGAAGTTCAATAGTAATTTAAGGACTGAAATGAGTTTTTGTTGACTGGAGAGATTTTATACATAGATATACAATTTCGGAGAGATTTTAAATGTTATTCGGTTACAGAAAGGCATTATTCATGGAACATTAGATCAGTAAATTCAGGATATTACTATGATTTCTATTCAGCATTAATAGCACAAATATGTGATTAATCTGTATTTCATGTGCTTGAGGTGACAGTGATTTGAATTCTGTTCTTTTTTTATTTTGTTCTAAGGTTATCTTTACATTGCTACTGTAATTCCGGAAGATGATGACACTCTGTATACATGTGTAGCAAATAATGAAGTATTACGTATTCAAAAGAGTGGTCCATCATTTCGTCTTTCTGTTCATGGACAACAGGTAACGTATATTATAGGATTCAATTTTCCTGATGGGATTTACATCTATTTTTTTTTGAAATCACTGTAAAAAATCTGCAATCGAACAATTAAATCATTTCTGTTGTTTTGTCTTTATCAGACATAAAAGATACCTGTTAAAAACCTTGACTCATCGTGCTAAAATGATTTGCTTTGCCAACAGCTTTGAATATAAAATAGCCAAGTATCAAAAATGACCTGCATAAACTCTATTATCTACACTTTCTCCCTATGAATCCAGTCACTAATGATAAAATGGCATTAAATTACCGTAAAAGTTATGTGCTGTTGTAAGAAGACTGATGTTGTGAGTTCGGTATCCGGAAGCAGGTTCATGGATGCCCACTTCTGGGTAATCCCACAGATCAGAACATTTGTCCTATCCTTCTTGGTTTTGAAAAGTTCAACGAAGACTGGTTTGTGATGTTAACTATAAAATTCTAAAGGCTACATAATTACCTATAGTAAGATACATTGATTGGTTGAACTAAGATATCTAGCGAAACCTTGTACAAGGGCGCTTAACTAAGCTAATCAGCTAGTTAATCCTGGTATCCAGTTGAAAATATGCCACAGATCTATGTCAGTCGTTACCAATTACTCATGTAGTTAACAAATATTAATCGTAAAATACTGTTATGCGTTTTGCATATATTCTGTATTTACGCTATTTCTCAAGAATATAATTTGTTTTGTTTATAAATATATATGGGTTTTGATATATATATATTATTTTTAGCTAAAGGATGCTTTTTCTCTTGTTTAAAATTTTATAGTCTACATATAGTCTACATACAGAATACAGGTCTCCAAGAACAGAGGATGCTGCAGTTGGTGATATAGTTCAGCTGCGATGTATTTATAGTGGTTATCCTGAACCTCAATATACTTGGTTCAAAGATGAAAGTGAAAAAATTACTGTAAGAGTATATTTCAACTTCTATTTCATAAAACACTGTTAATCAGTTGTGACATTGTGATGAAGTTATTGCATAAATTTTACCATAGAAAATCATATTGACCGATATTTAATTATTCATATTGATTTTATCATTCATTACACGAAGATAGTTATAAAACAGTCTGAACATTAGATTTTCCACAGGTTATTTAGCATACAACTCACTTCAAATAAATGAGTCCTATGATAATTCACAATTTTGTTTAGTAATTTGTCAGCTACCATTTGCTGATACGAAAGAAATAATTAATTTCAAAGTGATCTTGGTCTATCGCTGCTCTGATTTTCAGTGGGCTTTATTACAATGAAATTTTTATTCGGTTACAGAATAGGTGGTGAAAGATGAGATGTAATTACAAGTGTGAATCTACTTCAAATGCCTTAAGTTTTGAAACGTATTTAATTCTGAATATAATACTTATTTCTTACTTTCATTTACATGGTTACAATTTTGAAAGATTTATTCTTTTCTGTACGTTTTCCAATGCAAAGTTGTTTGTTGGTTGAGATTAAAAAGTTAGCTATAATGCTACCAATAAAACTGATCGCTCATTAATCTCAATTCTAATAACGTTCAACAGGTTTACTACTGTAATGTCTGTTTTACTTTGTTGAGTTTCCTATTTTAGTTTGTTTAATCTTAATGATGGTAGGCTGAAGTCTAATATAAAATCCGAACGAGGTGTTGACAATATTAATTTGTTAAATTGTTAAATTTTTTGGAAATCATAATTGACACAATCGTCGATATAAATCGTAAAATATTAACGCAAATAATGGATGTTTTTATAGAAAACTGTTCTCTGATATAAAAAGATATGAAAACCTTGAATATTTACTTTTATATATTAAACTTATCATATTTTGGAAGCTTACCTAGTTGAAAGATGGATCTTTCAGCATATCAGCCTAATTCAACCCATGCGATAAACAACAACTTCTTATTAAGTTATTCGTATTTTCAGTACTCATACTAAGTTTAAGTGATTGGAAAATTTGATCTCAATGAATGTTATTCAGACTCTAAGTTTTTACTTGAAAATACGAACTAGCGATCCATTATATTGACATTGTGAGGATACGTATCCGGTTATTTCAGCTGATAAGACTTAACTACAGGTTTTGAAATAATATACTTTTCCCTGATACTCTGTTATTAATTTGCGACTTTTTAAAATTAAGATTTACGTTTTGTACTCATTTGATTACAGCTGCCGAATGTAAAGATTAGGAATATGGGAACAATGTTGGAAATCAATCCTGTAACTATTGAATCTGCTGGTGAATACAGATGTCAAGGGATAAATGAAGTGACAAAAAATACGGTGAATAATCAATTTACAGTCTATGTCCGGGGTAAATATTTTGTTACATTATATAAACTACTGATAAGTAGCCACACTAATTCTGTATAGAACTCGTTACAGGTTACGATACGAACCAGTATTTAGGTGCTAAATCACAGGACACGACTCCAAATCAATTCATCCAAAGACTAGAAGATTACTAGGATGCCGACAACGACATATTTTATATTTGTTTCCTCGATAATGTTTGTTGATGCGGAACAATTTCTTGGCTTTTTACTTTGTTAAGATTGAAGGCAACTGATAAGATACCACGAAATACAATTAATCCATAATTTACTGTCCTTATTGTTGTTCTGGCTTTATTCAACTTCATAAATGAAAACAGTTGCGTCAAATTACGATTTCCTAACCAATTTACTGCGCGCATTCACCCAGCTAAGTACATCACTTTAGTGGGTGTAGTAAAAAGTAGGATGTGATGTATTCACTACATTGCACCCTAAGGATCGTTTAGAAAATGTATATGAATTGAGAAATCATTTTCCTAGATTAGTGTAGTTTTATTAACCTTAATGTAATTTTAATGGAAGAATTTCTGATCAAAAAATTATATCACGTGCTTTTATTCTCTTTAGATTCGTAGTAAAATCATATGAAATTAGTAAGACGAGTGAGTGTTAGTTAACGCATGGTATAATCACAATATGTACTTCAGAAATTTTAATTTTCCTAGTTATAAATATATATATATATATACATAATAAAATATTTCAATTATTTTCTATGGAAAAATTGATTACATCTCTGTTATGGCTTACACTAGCCAATATGCAGACGACCTTTGAGTGGTCAATATGCAACAAGAACGGGATAAGTTGCTGTTCTATGCTTGAAAGACTGCCCAATACTAAATTACTCAAGTGAAAAAGGAGGGCGATATGTCAGTGCCCATCAAACCGAAACTCATTATTATAATACAGACATTCTCTTCTATACACTCCCTTAAATATAAATAAACTAGACCACATTACACCAATAGATTAAAATTAACAACTTAACATAAATGAACCAAAAGTGGCCGTGAATAGAAAATGTCGTAAATAATAAAAATGTCAACGAAATAGGTACAGTAAATCGTATGATAATAATTTGTGGCTTAATATAAAGCATTTGATCATAGGAATATATATTATCTGGTTAATTAATAACTAAAATAAAATCAGATTATATAAATCAGTAGTCTATAACTTGGTTACCTAAATTACTGTTTACTTCAGTCTTCATCCGACTATAGCATTTTCAAAATTCATTTATTGAGAAACTCAAAACATTTTTTAACAGGTCAACATTCCTAAGGTAACTTTAATGCAACAAATAGGATTCTACAATATCTTAGATCCCTTTATACTTATCAAAGTCTTTTCAATTTATAATTCGCTTACACTATATGGCTATGTCAGGCTAAAATGTCAAATTCTAACTCATTTGTGTTAGATGTTTTGGCGCAGTGAAAGTGTTTCAAACAAACAAACAAACGTTTGTGGAGTGTTGAGTCTACTAGAAAACTAAGTTGTGAATAACAGTTACGAATAGATAAGTGAACATTTCTATGATAAACTAAGTATATTCATTGAACACAATCAGTTATATTGTGGCGCGCGCTACTTATAAGTAGTATGCGACGCGAGTGTAAACGTAATGTCTGGCAGCAGAAGATGGGGGAAGATCAAGAAAAGAAGAGTGGGAACACAATGGAATTTGTATGAAACGCATGAATAGTGAAATGTCAGACAATGGATTGATGATGGATTGAAGATTTGCAAATTAACGGTTACGATATGGTTTTCCTATTTTACTGAGTAACTCTGTAATTTTCGTTAAATACAATTCGGTTGTCCTCACTTGTGTTCTCGTTCACTACAGTATTAATGAATTTAAATAATCACTACTTATTCAAAGAGTTAATAGATATATTTATCCTAGTTTATTTTGGAATTTTTATAAGCATTTTTTGACATACACTAGTGTGAGTTTACTATCTGTCCGTTTATTTTCGTAACAAAATTAAACAAATTTTAAAGCAGAAAACAGTAAGATATACATGAATTCAGTGTGTAAACAGTGTTTTCTATTTTTTTAATCTCTTTCCATGTATATAAAAAGAAAGTCAAATAACTTTAACAAATTGTTGTGAATAGGTAGATCTTACAATATTATTTTCTTATTCTGTTATAATTCATCAATTAAATACATTAACGTCGTCAACATTAACATTTGTAAAATAACTTGCTTTTGTTTTATTATGATAGATAATATTGACAGTTTGATTTCTTTTTTAAAAAATTTTATATTACAATAGTTTATTGTTTGTTTATTTAGTTTTTCTTTGCAAAAAAAAACTATCAATCTTTTTATTTAATAAATCTACTTTAGTTCGTCCGAAATTTATAGAGAAACCTGAAGATATTACTGTACCAGTGAATGGATCAGTAACATTTCGATGTACAGCAACAGGAGATCCACCGCCTAAAATACGTTGGACTATAAATGGTGAAGATCCATCTAGTTATTTAGATGGTGTACGTAAAGTTTTGCATGGAAATGTAAGTGAACCATGAAATCATTGGAAAGTTATACTTTCTTTTGTGTAAACTGGCGTAATTTGCTTGACTCAGTTAATTCCTTGAAAGGGGAATATAATTTGATAACTATTAAACATATAGCTTCTTAAGTGATAAGAATTGACAGTTCATTTCGATCATCAAAGGTAATCATTTTTGCTGATTATACTTCATTAAACGACCATTGTCTGAACTAACATTAAAGTTGTAGGAAATAAATGTTTTTCAATGTTTGTCTCAGTTTAATATATTTGGCCGCACATTTTGATAGTTTCTGTCAATGGTACACCAGAAGCACTTTTAGAATGTTAGCAGATTTTTTCCCGAGAATTTTATATCTGATATTGGCACTTTACATGGTCAATTATGAAATATTTTAAATAAACTTAGTTCCATCTGATACGTTTTTCTCATCATATTGAGACGTAACATTTATAGGAGGTTGATTGTACTGATTGATCAGCGAGTCATAAATATTGACAAATTTATTGAGTATTTACCACATGAATAACGTATGAGCGACCACCGACTGCCACGACGAGCGATGTTTTCTGGTATTGAAGTAGGTCAGAAGAAAGCTAGGGACGGCTAAACCAAAACATGGCACAAATCCATGAAGTCACTGACAAATGGACTCAGACATGTTAGTAAGTGTAGACTACCTACTTGGGGTCTGCGAGACAGTAGTAACCGATGGTTAGAGACCTTGAGTGACATGTGTCAAATCATTTGCAATGGTGCAGGTGCATCCACTGTTTATGTTCTCTGAAATTATATTCTGAATTCCTCATCACCCCTATCTTTTTCTCTCTCTAAATTTATCTCACTAGATTCTGCTTCTTGAACAATTTCTTCGAACCCTAATATTTTTCATTACCAATAATACTTCTACTACATCTAGCCTTATAGGATTTGTACTGATAATTGTGCCTCTGTGCTAAAGTGGTATGGCAACCTGAACTAATGTACATACGTATGAAGTTCTACGTTGTAAGTGACTGGCTGACAGAATAAACTCTATTAATCAAGTTGATATTTAGAAAATTTCCTAAGTAATTATACATCGCATGCACGATATTTAGTTTTTAAATGTTTGAATAACTAAATGCATACATCATTGCTTACTACTTGGTAAACGGTCAATGAAAGTAAATGAAGTCTAAGTAGACCAGTCGACACTTGAATAGCTCAGTGATCATATTTCTGACGATACTACTAGTTAGAACAGTTGTTCCTACAACGTTTGAACTACAACTTATTGACATGTTCCAACTGTTATAACATCAACGTCCAAGCATTTCTGCCAGTTATTTTTATCCACCTAAGATTAACGATTATTATTTGTATGGCTATTGAGTAAAATGTCTGTTGTAAAGAGATGAATACAGGATGTAATACATTGTAGAGAAAACGAGCTTACTGTTTCTAACAATTATGAAATTCGAAAGTGACTTTTATCATATTATATCACTTGAATATCTTAGAAAAACAGAAATAAATTAAAGCTCATTTAGTTCTTCATTTTTATTTAATTTCTTAGTTAAATTAATTCACAGCTTTTTAGGTGATTGAAAGCAGACTGATCATGGGCTTAAATAACTACCATACGCTAAATATATGTATGTACTTATGCTTTTTGTCATGCTCAAACTGATCAAAGAAATCCTTTCTCACAACTTAAGTTAAAAGTTTAAAAATATTCAATCTTTCATCAAATTTAAAAAAAAAAACTTCGAAACGTTTTGTAATCTTATCTACTTATTTTTATAAACATTTTAGACTATGCAATTAAGTAATTTAACCATTAAAGACAGTGCAGTTATTCAATGTAATGCATCCAATAAATTTGGTTATGCTTTTACAAATGCTTATGTAAATGTTATGCGTGAAGCGCCGTATTTTATGAAACCGCCAGACTCAGTTGTACGTGCAGTAGATGGAAATCAAGTCACACTATATTGTCAGACATTTTCAGCGCCCAAAGCGATTATATCATGGACTAAAGATAGACGACCAATTAATGGTGGTCGATATAAAATATTAACATCAGGAGATTTATTTATTGAAGTAAGTGAATTATGAGTAATCGTCTTAATTATAAATATTTTCAAATGATTGATGATTAATGATTTAAAGAAAACCTACATTATGTTAATATTGAATGTAGTAAGATGCAAGTATACACAACCATAATCTAGATTTAATTCAAACATGAGATTCAAGTGTGGTATTTTGTGTATTGTTTTCCATTTAGTCGAGTGTTTTTTAAGGAATTAATAATAATTATGAAGATAGGTTTCATTGCTAAATGAAAAGTCATTAAGTATCGGCAGGATTTAAAATATTTTCAATCCTAGCTGGCTATCAATTCTATTCGATTATCGACATAATATTATTTGAACAGGCATTTGTGTTTACATATATTATTTGGAAAGAAATGTAATATCTTTTAGCTACACTTATGTAAAATCTTTTCAAAATCAAATGGACAGATGTTACAAGTTCTGTAAGGAAGCTTTGTGGGTCATGATGGTCAGTTGAAATTTTTTTTCCTTATTTACAAATACTATAAGAGAATTTTCTGCTTACAAATTATGTTAAATCATAAAACTATGCATACCGACCGGCTAAATTACTCAAAAAATATTTCTGAAGTTTACAATCTATCACGAGGGCAATTACTGTTTAATCGAAGCGGAAATTTGTTAAAGATTATATCTGAGTTTATGTATCATATATGTTGTACAGTTTAAAGAATGTTATGGGTGAAAAATTGGTCAACATATCATATTGATAAGGATGCAGTTTTATAAATTTATAGATTAATCTCAAAATAAAACTCTGTTTTCCTCTGAAATCCCTTATCACGAACAGTTTACACAAAATAATGATTATCATTTTAGGAAAACAAGTCTGTTAAACTAATGTACGGATTATGGTCATTTAAAGTTTATTTCAAAGATTTAAAGTAGACTAATTCTATCCGCTACAAAATCCTACTAAATTTGACACTTTACTTGTCCTATAACCGTGTTTATTTTTCAGACCATCTCAGGAAGTCCCCCTATGTGAGACATGATATCATTAGTTTCGAACTATGACTCATCATCAATCATGATCGCTTCAAAAAACCGGCATTTTGATCTGCCAGTTCAAATTCTTCTCAAGCATGAGTTACTCTTCAGCGGCTTTAAGATAACTTATGTACATGAAATTTTCAAATGTAAATGTTTTGCTAGTTACGTGTTCAAACGATTTGTTAAAATTCATTTCATCAGATGATTAGCTAACTATCAAAAGGCGCCACAGAGCACAGAATGTTGACTGTTTTTACGATAATATCAGTTGTCCACAACTAGTAACCTCAGTAACGTAAAAAGTCATGTCAAATTATATACAACTAAATCAAAGAGCTACTCTGAACGATTCTTTACAGTTGTTTAGGGAATTTTTCGAAACACTAAAAGCTCAACAGTTGGAATAAATATTAAGAGGAAGCATAATAATATCTGAAGCGGTAAAAACATACAGAATTTAAAATTATTCGAAACATAGGCTTTTACATAAATGTTCATACAGGACATAAAGTTAATTTGAGCCCAAAAGAACCTCTTGTTCGTTTTTAGAATTTAATGCTGTTATATTATATTGTAGAACTCCATTTAGGCTTTGAAATGATAGTAAAGATGTGTAGCTCAAAAGTCTGTTTTTTGTTATCTTGTGTTCGATCACAAGGCTTTAGTTATCTTTCTCGTCAACAGTGATAAAAATTAAAGGGTTCAAAATCTTAATTCAACGTATATTCATCTATATCTCTAGATACTGTTTGACCTAGCTTTGTGTAAAATGAGGTTCATATTTTATTTCATCTATATTCAGTGTTTAAATGGTTTCCAATGCTAGTGTAGACAATCATTTAAAAAGTTCTTTCATGTTTTTTTTACAGTCTGTGGCAATTACTGATTCTGGTGTTTATGAATGTACAGCGACAAATCCATTTGGAAGTAAAAAGGCTTCAGGAAAATTGTTAGTTAGGCGCAAAACGAGAATTGTTCTTGCTCCGATCAACACAAAAGTATATGAAAATGATGTTGTTAAATTTGTTTGTACAGCTGAAACAGATCCAGCTGAAGTATCTAATCTTAAAATTACTTGGTACAAAGATGATAATTATATTGATCCAAATTTAACACCTCGAATTCAACAAGTCTGGTTTGATTATGCATTAGTTTTAAGTGGTGCTCAACCTCGTGACACTGGACAGTATCGTTGTAATGCTAGTAATGGCTTAGATTTTGATACAGCTACTGCTCCACTACTTGTTCAAGGTATTTAGTAATATGTTGATCATAATTGTTCATTGTTTATTTATACTTCTATATGCATAACTATGTGATGTGGTTATCACTGCTTGTCACAGAACTCATAAATCGTGTTGCAGTTAACCTTTCATTGATTAAACACGTTTTGAAAAACATTTCAAGATTTAGTTACAACGAAAAAAAGCATGATATTGCTTTAGTGATAGTTTATATCTGGAGTTCATCGATTAAAGAATTTAACAAAAACTTTTGAGTTTAAATATTAAACTGCTTTTAATGGTAAATGTTCAAAAGCTGTAGACGGAACTCCGTAAAAGTCGATCTAAGTCTAATCGATATTCATCATTAAGGATGTTAAAAACTTCAATTATTTAAGTTTTTGAATGTATTAAAAGTTTCCACATAAGTAGGTGAAATACAAATGAATTACAGTACTGCGATGTTTATTTGGACACCCAACTAACCGTACTCCGATGAACTTGTAAGTTATAGGCTAACTTATTCATGTACCAATACACCGTAAGTTCTATTTGTTTCTGTTTTTATAATAATCAAATCATATTTTATGTCTGACTTTTGAAGTAACACCATAATAATCTAAGGAAATTTATGAGGTGCGTTTGAATTTTGTTGTTTAAAATTTTTCACCTACCCATAATATATGAGTTTTGGTGTTACAATGTCATTTATTTTACAATAAATAACTAGCTTATAGTTTGATTGGTAAAACATAATTCTATAAAATCACATTCAAACTGTAACTGCATTTCCTCCCAGTGGTGAATATTTTAGCCTATTCATAACAAAATCTAACATCAAAATTTAACACATTATCAAGTATTCATTTTATTCGCTAACGTTAAGATTATAGTTCGATCCTTATTGTAACGTTTGTTGTTTAAAGTTATAGAAATCTGATCTTGAAAGAATGTTATCGACGACAGTTACGTGAAGTTATGTTTTGTTTCTCATTCCATTCAGTGCCTGAATATTTGGATAAAACACTTATGTGATATTTTCAAAAGTATTATTCAAATTGATATTATGCATTAGTTTATATCCATCATTTAATAGCTTCAACTCATTAAAAGATTAACTGGAATGATGCATATGCTGAAATTACATAGCATTACTTTGAACTTCACTGTCTGATAACTCTCTCTTTCATAAACTATTTTAAAGTGCTTGCCAGGCTATTATCAACGTTTAGCAGTCTAAAAACAAACATAGTCTTACCAGACAATAAACATGATTAGTGAGGCAAATAGGGGTAGGAATAATAAAAACAGGACACAACTAGACTATCTAAGTAGTGATTCATTCAGTTATTTAGCTGATCCGTCTTGATAACAAATGTCATAAATAAATCAGTATTCGATGTCCCATCTTCATTAGTCAAATCATTTTAAGAGTGACATAATAATTAGGTTAAGTTTCAGTATTATGTCATTGAACAAATATATATATATATATATATATATATATATATATATATATATATATATATATATATATATATATATATATATATATATATATATATATATATATATATATATATATATATATGTATTTATTTATTACCGTCATTTTTCTAACTATAATGCACTGAACTTTTATTTGCAGGTCGTCCAGAACAAGCAATTAATGTGCAAGTTAATTGCGTTGATTTTATTAATGAGGAATTAGCTCTAATAACGTGGTATCCAGGATCTGATAATTATGCTCCTATTATGGAGTATATAGTTGAATATTCCACTCAATTTGAACGTGACACCTGGTATCCAGCTGAAATCTTCAACTTAACTGGATTAGTTCAAAGTACTTCAGTTAAGGTTAGTATAGTTTTCACGATATTCTTCACCAATATACGAAAAATCTATAGAGATTTATCCTAAACTACGTTGGCTACACCTGTGGTACATATACACAACCGCCACGTACCACAGTATGCGATGCTACTTGATACCACAGTGGGTTGGAAGAAAGGTAGAGGGACCTAACAGTGACTTGGTATCACTTTATGAAGTTTATGAATCGCTAGCATGAGGAGTATTGGTAAGGATAGATTATGTAGCCAGGTGCTGATGGATTGTAATGATTGGAAGTTAGGGACTTTGGCTAGTATGGCTTGAAGTCATTTTCAGTGATTCTGCGGTATTTATTGATTCATTTTGAATCATTTTCTCAGTGTTTAGCTTTTCCAATATAATTACTGGCATTATTATTTCAACTACCTTGGTATTCATGTTGTTTGTTTCATCTCGGTGTGATAATATGTTATTGAAACATGAGCCCATGTTTATTTTTTTCAGGAATGAAAAAGGGCGCGCATTAATAAGGGTCACCATCTAAAGGGTACATATTAATAAAGAAGACAATGGAAAAGAAGAATAATAATTTTAATAATGTGAAATATGTTCGATTCACTCTGTCCGTCTACTCCATGACCAATAAAAATAGCTTTCTAAATGTCCAGTGAAGAGTCTACTTTTGACAAAAACTGAAATTCTTCAGTCACAAATTTTTATTGTTATTACCTGAATCAATTTATCAGATGTGTCTATTTCAAACAGCTAGAAGATAGATTACTTAGAGGTGTATCTCGAAAATGTTTGAGAAATGTTTGATGAATATTATTTTGAATAATTTTTAAAATACGAGAAATGCTTTTGTTTTAAAATTAAAAGCTCATACTCAGCATTCTTTAATACATATATATTCTTGAAAACATTGTTCTCCATGTTGTACACTGAAACATAATGAACTTTATGCTCTCGATTGTTGACGTCCGTGATAATAAGAATCTAATAACCACTAGGTTTAAATCTAATGTTAATTAGGTGAACTGGCAGAGCATATTAGATGGACCTCAAGCAGTTATTATCACCGATAACATAGGATTACTAAGTATGTGTATAACTCAGATTATTTTTCATCCTAGTTAAAACTATTCTGAGATTTACGTTTGACGGGCAAAAACAGTTAAACATTCTCTCAAATCTGAACTTTAAAACTTCAACTGCATTAAAACATTATTCTGTAGTTGATTTCCCTGCAAAGGTGATAGCAGTTCATCGTTTCAAACCTAAGCTATGTGTAAAAAAGTCTAGCATCAAATTGTCATCATATCATATATCTGATAATTAAGTCTTCATGTACAATCAATCGATTATTGATACTTAGTTATTTGTTATTATCACATTCATGTTTTTAATTTACTATTCATGTTTCTCATCCTGCAAGAGTGAATAATTATCATTCATTCTATTGGCTTGATCTTATTACTTTTCTTTTAATGCTCAGTCGTCAAGCAACCTCATTTCAATCGTTGTAGTTGTATGCTACTCCTTAGATCTTTCAACAAACTAAGAGGGGTAATAAGCGTTAGCAAGTAATTGATATAGATATTTTAAATTCAGACCCTGAATCCCCTACATTTTGATAACTCCTCAAATTATAAGGCTGATTAATTAATTGAATAAATTAATCCATACATTAAATGACTGAATATCGTGCATCAAAAGAGCGCATCAGAAGAGGGTAACATTAATTTACCAGTGACATAAATATCACATACTTTCTGAAACTTTTGTAACATCCTAATAAGTTTAGGTGTGCATATTAAAAGTATGTGCTATTCCACGTATAAGGCCTGGTGTCTATCTGTCTTCAAAATCTTCTATAACCAGTTTACTACGTACTACTACCTTTTTATACTTTCTTTTTAATTTCTGTTGTTGAATTTCTGCGACATACTGTTCAATTTTTAATCAACTTGCACTGTGTGCTGTTTTCAGAACATCGACAAAGTTGCATATAATTATTTAAGTTGTACCAATAGGTTAGCTAAAGTCGCTGTGTCACTGCTTTACCACGTTGTTCGTTTTAGGTAGGTTTTCCATGACAGAGGGCAAAATTGAACATATTTCACAATATTAAAAATATTACTCTCTTTCTCCATTCTCCCTTTTATCAACTGAGATGTTTTTGACGGTCATCCCTTAGATGGTCGCTCTGATTTATACACACCCTTTTTACTCGCCTATTCGCTCTCTCCATCATTAGTCCGAGCCACCCTATACTCTCTAATTTTTTACATTTGTCACGCTGATGCCAGTCCTATATATTCAGATTGTATTGATTTAAATCAAAGCGTTGAAAAGTTTTAGAAATAAGTATTTTAATACAAAAGAACTAATATTTTTCAGTATAAGACTGAGCAGCAAGTGGTTTATTATCGTTTGAAAATAATGTTTTGACCGCACATAGATTGACATTTACTTTTCCATGTATAGTCAAATGTAACTTATAAACTATTGTCATCTTTTAATATAGAATTTGTAGTATGGATTCGGTGTAGCTACAATATATATCATAACATAATTGTAAAGTTGATCTCGCAGTCGTTAATTATTACTTCATGACAAAATGCATACTTTGTTACAGGTTGTATTAAGACCAAATATTCAATATCAATTTCGTGTTCGAACAAGAAATCGTGTTGGTGTTTCTCTACCTAGTCAACCAACTACAAAAACATGCGGTATCCCTGGAAGGGTACCATCAGTTAATCCTAGAGAACTTTATGTATTTGGAACAATAGGCAATAATCTAGTGATCAGATGGACAGTAAGTTCAATAAATTTAATTCTATTGATCTTATTTTTTTTGGCAGTATTCAGTTTATCTGTATTCCGTGATGAATCTTTTAAGTTTAAAACTTCAATTTCACGATTTGTATTATCTTAGTGTGTTGTTGTAAGAAATTAATAAAACATGTAGCTACGTAATTAGAATGGTATGTTTTTATTAGGATTGACAAAATTTATTCTAAACTGCTATGCAAAAGTTTATGTCTTGAAATTTTTGTGGAATGGATTCTTCTCAATAGTTTTACTGTGAGTGGATTAGTTGCTCTGCGTGTCTAATTTTATTCGACTTACTTTGGATACACAAAGAAATAGAAGCACAGTGTTACCATCAATAGAAAAAAATCCACTGATTGAATATCAAACGCCAGAATGAACTTATAGTAACAGTACTATCAGTTAAAGTACATATTCAGTCTTTCGATTTTACTAGAAAACAAAACAAGCATATTTTTTCTAGAGCTACTTTGTTACGTTCAGTTTATTGATCGGACAATTATTTAGGTGATGAGTATAAAATCCTGTTCTCAGATGCTTAATTTACGCCTGTAATGTTACATATCCTAGAATCCTTTCCTCAGATGAAGTTTTAATAGTGAAAAGAATATGTAGAACTCCTTTTTCGTCCACAAAAAGTCGGTTTTTCTCTAAGTTTCCTTCATCTTCTTACTATTCTCTTGTATAATGTTTTTCAATCGTCTTTTCATGTCATCACTGTTCCGTTTGTTATATTTTTTCTAGAATTTATTGTCTCAAATATTTTTGTAAAGTAAGACAAGTCGGATCCGTACAGCATTATACAAACCACTACTTTACCGCTTATATCTGTCTAGTCGATCTTTTTAGTTTGAAAAAAAATCAAAACTTTCGTTCGTTTTAACTATTTCTTCTCATATCTAGAAAACCAAAATTATGTTTTTTTTATTTTCAATTGATCATAAATTTCAATGTTCAGATTTTAGTTACATCTTTTGAAATATTCATAATCTATTACTACTTTTTTTTATCTACTTGTATCAAATAGTTAACTGAAAATATCACAGAGTTTGTTTAAATTATTGATTCGGTAAATTATTTGACTAAATTTATTTGATACTGATCAATTGAGATACACAGTATTATCAAGTTAATGTTCACCCAACATAACGATGGTTAAAAATGATTTTAAAATTAGCTAATCGCCACTCTTAACCGCACAGTGAATTTTGTATTCAAACATAGAACATATATACTTGACAACTGATGTGCTTTATGTTTGTTTTACAATTTTTTGTAGACACTACCATTCATAGAACATAATGGCAATAATTTAGGTTATATTCTTACTGTCCAGTGTTTGGATTGTGCCTCTGTACAATCGAGTGCTGTGAATACAACAGTAATCGGTGATTGGAGAACTGATCGTATTGTGTATACATCATTCAAAGCTGGTGTTGTTGTTGCTGAAATTGAATCTTATAAATTATTTCGAGCAAGTTTCTTGTTTATATAATATTTATCAATAGTATACATATAATTTTGGTTGTTTGTGGTAGTTTTATTTTACAGTTTTTTGAGGTTAAGCTAAAAATTTTAGTTTTTAGAACACATTTACACTAATATCATCTCTATATATTAAGCCCGACGTGTTATTTAGTCTTTCCCTTTTCCTTAGACCTTGAGGATTCCAACTTAGGGCTTGTCCCGTTGCGCATGTGGGTGATTTCCGCAATGTGTTTCCTAGTCACCTAAAGCTCGTTTTCCTAATTTCTTTCTCAAGTAGAATATGATTTGTTCTCTCTAACAGTAGGTTGTTGCTGATGGTTTCTGGTCAACGGATCCTCAGTATCGTGCATACACAACTATTTAAAAACACGTGTATCTTTCAGATGATGTCTTTTGTAATTCTCAAATTTTCCGCTACATACAACAGACTTGTCCGGATTTTTTTTTACTGAAAATTCGGACTTTGGTGTTGGTTGTCAGCTGCTTAGAGTTCCAGATGTTCTTAGGTCGTAGAGCTGTCAATCTTGCTTTGTCAGTCCGTGTCCTCGTATCTTCATCAGATCCACCTTGTTTATCAATAATGCTGCATAGGTACGTAATGTTTTCGCATTCTTCAAAGCTTCTGCATCAAGTGAAATTTGGTTTGTGCATGCTGTGTTGTATCGAAGGATCTTGCTTCTTCCCTTGTGCATGTTGGAACCTATTGCTGCAGAGACTTCTGCTACATTGACCGTCTTAATCTGCATTTTTTGCTATGTGTGGGACAGAAGGGCTAGATCATCTACCAAGTCCAAACCATCTAGCTGCATCCGAGGTGTTCAATGTATCCCGTGATTCCTCTAAGATGTTGAGGTTTTCATGATCTAGTCAACAACTGGAAGAAAGAAAGAGGGTGAGAGTAAGTAACTTTGTCTCGAAGAAAGGCCGTATTAAACTGTTGTAATTCTATTTTTCCAGTTATTCAGCGTCTCTTTAGTTTCACTTTCATCTTGGCCACCAATAAGTGATGATCTGAGGCTATATCACCTCTCCTCTTTGTTCTTACGTCTTCCATGGTCCAATGTCTTTTACTGATACCAAGCATCACCAGGTTGCGTATTTTCATTTCTTCTGCTATGTGAATGGTTCTTCCAGTCTCCCACACCGTGAACGCATTCATGTACTTGTAATAATTGTTTTTCTGATTGTGAGACAGGTCATCAGCTTCGTGACTTTCGACGAAACTTGTCTTTCACCTTGAGGCGTCATAACTCTTCTAAATGAAGACCCTCGAACTGCTAGGATAAACTTTAAATGGTTTGAATTATTTTTCTTGGTTAGCGTACTTTTAAAAACTTAGTTTTCTATCGTATATGGTCGCTAACCTCATGCCCAATCATCAGAGATGGATAGTTTATGGCTGTGGAATCCAGGACGCTCGTTTCCCTCCTACTTAAGACTCATCATTTGAGTGCACCTGGATCTCACAGTTGATGTTCACTCCGGGACTTGAACCCAGTACTTTACGCTTCGAACGCTATTGCGTTATACATTTAGCTGTAATATTTTTGCATACAGTTATAGTTTGAAACAGTCATCAATATCAATTATATTTACATTCTTATATTATTGAATTCAAATAAACAGTTTTCATTTTATCGAATAAATAATTCCTATGAAACATTATTATTATTATTTAAGGTTTCAATACAAAGTCGCAATGAAAAAGGTGTCAGTACTCAGGCTCCTACTGTGGCTTTAGGTTATTCCAGCGAAGCTATGCCAACAGTTTCACCACCGGCGCCTGTTATTATCAATACAACTATTGAAGGTGTTAACTTACAATTGAAAATAATCGAAGCTAATGAAGCAGCTGATATTAAAGGTTTTTTTAGAGGTTATCGAATTGAATGGTGTGATGCAAGTTTAGATGTTACGGAATGTGATGCAAAAAAACAATTTAAAGTAAGCATAACAAAATGAATTTAAGCTGTTTTCTTTAATTTAATCAAATTTTATGGGTAAAAACATAAATATCATTATCAAGTAAATAATTTTTAAGAATAATTAAATGAATTAGATATGTGCATTACATGCGAAAAGTTTCATTCTGGGAAAAATTGTTTGTGATTTTGTTTCACCCACATTCATTAACTTGGTTAATTATAACTGCTAGAAGACATCCAATCTGTCAAGGTTTCATACCAGTTTCGACAAAAGCTGAACACTCAGAGATCCATATTAGGTTAGTATAGTCAAAATGAAAGATAAATCTTTAGTATCAAAACAGCTCTAGAATCGGAGTTTATTCCATATGTGTTACCAGTAAACCTCTATCTGGAAAAAGATCATCTTGTTAAACAATAATAAATGTGTGAAATTCTAGATTCTTGAAACGCCTCCAGTCGGTTTATTACCTTGAAAGAATCGTTTAACATAAATATCTCTTGATCTTTGTGATGGTCAAATTATTTGATTATTTTATTCAGAACGTCTCACTCCTCTTTCTAATTGCTGATCATGTTTATATATATATATATATATATATATATATATATATATATATATATATATATATATATATATATATAACTGAATGATGTAACTCGTTTATTTAAATCATGAAACTCAACTCATTCTCCTTTTATCAGCAAGAACTATGAAAACATATTTATAATGACAATTTGTCGATGATATTAGATTCTTACATTGTTTTTTTTCTAGTCATTTATGACACGTTCAGAGCGACAAATAAAAAATTTGAAGTCGCGCTGAAACAAATTATTCAAAACAACCAATAGCAAAAATTTTGTTTCTTATAACTGTTAATTTCATTCCTTATTTTTTGTTTTCATTTTCACCTGTAAAATTAATTAGGATGTAATATTTCGTGTACCTAATACTCCAGTTCTATACACCAATCGTCGACGAAGATCTGTAAATATAGTTGAGAATTCTTTAAATCATGAAAGTACAACTGAAGGTGATATATTTCATGCCTATGAATCAGTATTGGAACGTTATCTTCCTGCTTCTAGAAAAAATTATTATAAATGGCTTATGCATTCCGCAGTACCAGATACTCCAAATCCTATTTGTGAAAGTACTCCTAAAAGGAATATTTCATGTCCAGGAGCTGGTTTGTTCCCTCGAGCTGCTCAGTCGCCGTCTATTCTTGGAGAGGCTTACAGTATGCTACTTGCTCGAAGACCACGTCAATCTTTTCTTCCAGTCATTTCATCAGATGACCAATCAATAGAGTCAGAATTTACTTGGGGTATGAATATAACTTACTTGCTTACTGGAGTTCCTGGTGCAACAAATATTAAATTGTGGATGCGGGTTCTAACTAACAAATACGCCGGTCCAGCAAGGTAAAATATTTAGATCATTGATTATAGTTTGAGTTTTGGGGAATGTAAATCTAGTATGTTTTTAAAACAGAAACATAAGTATTTGTCGAATAAACAGTTAATTTATACCTTAGTAAATTCTATATATTAAAAAAAACTCAACATTTACTTTTATTATGTACAGTATACCTTCTTCATTTACTTGAACGAGAAATTCTAATTAGTAGTCCTGTAATTTTTTGAATTCATTTAGACAGAGTCGTAGTATGACGTACAAGCAAGTCAAGAACAGATGAAATACAAATATTCAAAAAAGACAAAGTTTATTTTAGTATAAATATATTGATTCTAGTTGATTATTTTACCTAGCAAAACGAGTTAATCAATTTTAAGGGATTCGAAAATTTTTACAGCACGTATTATTTGACAGTAAAAAGGTCTGACTGCACGTACTCATCTGCTATTATTTTGCTAGCTATTCAAATGACGTGAACAATGTCTGCAAGGTTGAATCGTAAACTTAAGTGTGGTTTTGTTAATTTGCAGAATCGTGCTTGGCTATCTGTTTGTATGTTACAGTATGAACTGAAACTTTTGGAATGATCTGATTTATTGATTTTGGTTTTTCTTTTGCAATATAGTCCTATTGTAGAATTGATGACATCAGGTGGTTTTTCTGGTCCGATAGCAAATTTAAAAGCCGATGTAATCAGTGTTAATTACATTGATGTATCATGGTCGATACCGACTGAACTAAATGGATATATAATCGGTTATGAACTTGAAGCTATGGAGTGTAAGTTGACATAAATGATTTAAAAATTTTTCAAACCAAATGTCTGATGAAAGTTTCCACTATCAAAATTACGTCATTTCAAAAGTTTATTCCTTGATAATATTTTCTCATAGATTCAAGATACTCCATGTTGTCTCAGTGATAACTTCAGTAATGAAAAGGAAACTATATTATTCACTGATGAAAGGTTGTTGATTTTAAATTATGAAAGTTTTTATTATGATTTGTTTTTATACAGAAAACAGTTCATATTAACTTCAAAATATCAGATTTTTCAGTTAGTTATTCAATTAATTTTCAGCTATCAATATCGAAAATGTTGAGATATTATTTGATAAAGCCATTAACTCTATCTTCTTGTCTACGACAATTTTTCTTAACTTCACGTATATTTACATAGATTGTGTCAGTATTATGTATGAGAACACAATGCTCAATAGTGTTACTACCTATTCATAAAGATTGTAAAGTTTCGTTAGTTTAACGCACTGTTTTTTATAAACACTTTTATTTTGATATAAAACAGTCAGAAAACTTTAAAAATCATGAAGGATGATCTCTGTTGATTTTTCACTTTATCATAAAAAAAGATATTAAGACCATATCTTTATAGTAGGTCGATGCTTCAACTGCAAGTTTATTGAAGTTGCCATCTTTGACTTTTACTTCAGGTGGAGAATAAATTGTAAATAAATTGTTGCCTTTATCACTATATTGTACAACAGATGTTTACTGAGTAACCTTAAATTTCATATTAAGAATCACTTTATTAATTGATACTTCGTTTGAAAATATCACTAACTTAATATCACACTTTTTAATAATTGTTCAAATCTCAATCTTAATTACCGTAGAATTTTAATATTTATTTAAAAGTATAAAAGTATATTCTTATTAAGGTTTGTTCATGGTATTATTTTGTATTACCACTCATAGATAATGCTTATATTAGCGATTTCTCTGGTGAAGGTGTTAACAGTTTTTATTTAAAAGAGTAGTATAATCGGTTCCATTGTCACATAACATAACAGTTTCTATAATCAACATCATCTATTTCTTTCAGCTTGTACTGTTTCAGTAACTCGGGAAAAATTGTCACTTACAAATATTTTGTTGAATTCATCATCCCATGTATCACGTTACGCGTCGTATTCAAGGTTGAACTATCATTTTAGTTTATTCGGAATTAAGTTAAACATTGATACTTAAGACTGGAAATATAAACGATTCGAGCACTTTTTGATAATTCAAAATAAAGTGTATGCTGCTAATTTGTTTGTCAGATATTTAATTTTGAATCTAGAGTTGAATGGTTATCTAAACTTCTATTATAATTGAAAATACCTTTCAAATTTACTTTTGAATAAATAAATAAATGTAACAGAAATTTTATCATTTTATGCTAATTGATAATACATTTTTTGTTTTTACAAAAAATTACAACTACAGTAAATAGTTTGGATGTTGGTTATGGATTTCGATATCCTCAACTCACAGATAACTCTTCAACATCTTATCGAATGGCACGATTGAAAGGAAATACAACATACCGTATAACAATATGGCCAATTACAGAAGCTGGTCTTGGAGTTGAAAACTTTATTGACATTCATACTGCACCAACTGATCAAGGTAATAAACATTTTCTTGGTTCTCTAATTAATCAGTAATTAAAGTGTTTACTTGACAAAGCTGTTACTTTTAAAACATCAGCTTAACTTATTGGAAAATATGTATGATTCAATGTCATTTGATGCATCATTGGATGATAGAATCTTATTGCTTCTTTACTGAGATTATTAGTGACAATTACAAACATGACTAGTTTTACAGTAAAACAGCAGAGTTTTCCTTTATTTGTATATCTTGTTTTGGATTAGTGATTTTTGGATAGACTTTCATATCAGTATATTAGCTGTTTTCCTTGAAACTGTTGAATATTGATCAATGGAAAGTGAAAAACTGTGTGTAATTCTATTCCGAATGCAAAATATGTTATCCATATTTATGGCGAATTACTGCTTTCTTAATCGTTCGAGAGTGTTATGGCTTAAGCTAACTAATTCCTAGTTTGGCGATTCTAGTCACGAATGTAATGAATAGTTCTTCTTTTGATTATAGAATTTCATCAACTTGCGAAAACCAGTGATCGTTCGACAGTTATTTTACTTTGCACTCACCCACTATATAATAATAGTTAATGCACAATAGCCTCATTTTCGTTTTTCTAATGATGTTGTTGTTTTCAGCTCCTAGTCCACCGACATTTGTTATTACTCATGTGACTGAAACTGGATTCACTATTATTTATGAACCTAGTCATGTTGGTCTACCAGGTACTGTATTTTTTGTTCAATATCGTCAACCTGGTATTGTTCATTGGTTAGAATCAGTTCGTACATTTATGAACCGAACAATAACTGTTGATGGATTAATGTCAGGTAAAAATGGTCAAGAAAAATATTTTACTGTGTTAGCAGATTGAAATTATGTTTAGTAAATACATTTTTGTTGGTGTAGTTATATTTGACTGTGTTACGAATAACGAACTCATGAAATTCATGCAATATTGCTTGCACACAGTGTGAGAGATTTGACTTTTCATTGATCAAATAACTGTTAATATGTCAGTGAGAGAGGAAATGAGAAAATTTACTAAGCCTAAGTATTAAGAATGAAAACTTATTGAAAAGTTTCCAGTAAATTGAATAAAAAAAGCTGACATATTTCGAAAGTGTTATATTCGATTGTGCGTATGTTTAGATTTGATTTTTGCTGATCAATTAATTATAATCATAGGGATGCAGAAACGATCAATCTTCGATTCTGCATTAAATTATCGAGAGATGGAGCGATGAAAATAAAAAATGACGAAACATCTATCTAGCTACTAATAATTCTCATCTTCTCTAATTTCATTTTATTTCATTTCATTTTAAACAAGCTTTGTTTACCGACTAGCTAAGAGTAACAGGTTATTCAAGTTACTGTAGAAAGAAAGATGCTTCTCTGCCTCTTTACTATCTAAAACTATGCATTTTAATTTTTACAGAATGTACCTTAATCAACCCAAAGTATAGATACATTAATTTGACTTGACATCTTCACTCTCTTCAGAATGCTTGTCTATAAAACTATAAAAATAGCAGTATTAACAAATTTCAAACATAGTTTTTTCTCATAAAAAAAAACTTTACAGGTATTTTTTTTTATTTCATTTTTGTTTTGCTAAAGATTTAGTTATCAACGTTAATAGTTTGAGTCTTGTTGACAAACTGAATCACTAAAATTAATGACTTATTAAATTTGAGTTATTCAAGTGGAAATTCTCTAACATTGATTGATTTGTTGTCTTCACTTGTGAAAATATATATTGATTAAGTTTTGACATATTTAATGAAGCATGTAATTTATGTCTGCATTAATCCATCATTGACAATAAGTAGTTGGTAGGACTCCTCAAATACGCAAACATCGTCCTAAACTATAGATAATAATTTTTTTCTTTTTTAGAAATTGAAAACATTAATAATGAATAATGGTCAAATGTTTCTAATTAAAGAAAAGTCAAATCAATCCCTCCTTAGGGAAAGTTATTATATTTTTTTAAAATTAGAATTCAACCATTTGATTTGAAGATTTTCAGCTTTCATAAATAATTGTTAAAAATCGACCAACTAGGATATAAAGTTTCTTAGCATCTGATTCTATCAGTATATTTGTCATTGGAAAATAGCAGTTTAAATTTTTTCAAAGAAAATGACAACCTACACGCAAATATTCAGCATGAACACCTTTTTCTTTTTTTGAAAGAATTTGTTAAGTCTTGTCAACTTTTCATTTCATTGATACTGACCAAGTAGTAGTAATGTTAGTCATTTGATCTTTGATCTTTACAACTACTTAGAAAAATAAGTTTACTAAGACTTTTTTTACTATCGTTTGATATATTACTACTATCTAAGTTAGTAGACTTCAAAATTCACGTGACGTAATGATGAGTATGAAAAATTTATCAACGTTCAGCTTTTCACCACACACAGACAGTATATCTGAGAGTATTGGGAAATTACTGATGAAAAAGATACTGCGCAATCTCATTGTCACATTTATTGAACAATTTTTATTTTTAAGTTTCGAATGAACATCTAGACTGTGATTCAAACCATGCATCACAATTATATTGCTGCAGAAATAGGAGTTTCTCTGTAGCCTTTGACGATAAATAAGGTGTATTTTTCACTCGATAGAAAACTGATCATCTATGGATTCATTTAAAAGTATCCTGATTTTAGTTAGATAACAAAATTTAGCATTTTATATTTTGCAGATGATGATGATCAGTAAACTAACTAATCAATATCATTCAGATTATTATTGATTTTTCCAGATACAACATACACAGTACGAATGGTTGCTACTAATGGTGATGTTTTGTCTACAGCAAGTGAAGACAGAGTGATTCATACACTGGGCGGTCCGAGTCCAGGTAGCTTAGCTGGAGACAGTGGAATATGGTTTATCATTGTTTGTACGTTGCTACTTTTCTTCATTGCACTACTCATTTTGTTAATATTAATAAGAAAAAGACGACTTCAAGTTGGTAAGTAATTATTATATAAATATATATATAAATATATAATCAATTTGAAGTGTACTTTAAAACACTTTATTAGCATACTACTTAGAGTGGATGTATTTCTAATTTTTTTCGATACTATTTTCTGATGAAACGGTTTTTTTTCTCATCTAGAATCTAAATAAATTACAGTAGTCTCTTATACATATATTTTTTTAGCTCTATATGAGCTTTGCTCATCAATTTATCGTTATACATTTACCTATCATGTCAATGATATTGAGAGAGGATTATTATTTTCCATATAAAAAAAAGTTATTGTCGAGCATACATTTAAGTAATTCAAAATTTTTCTGATGTTATCAGTTCGTCCGTTATAAACAATTAGATTATTCTTTTAGTCAGTAATTACAATCAGTTGTATGCAATATGACAGACTTATTAGCTGCCTGCTTGAATTACTAGGCTATGTTTCCTTTCATAAATATATCTAGAAAAGTGATCATTTTTGTTTGTTTGAATACATCGATCGTCTTTTAATCATATACCATATTCAGGAACATATAGAAAAAGGTTTTAAGACCTATTGCTTCACAAAGTACAAAACAGTACAATTTGTAACTGCTCGATTACTTAATTCCGACCAATGTATTATTCATGTTTTACTCAAAATATATAACAAACTCGAAATGAGTTTGATAATTGTAAATAGGGGAGATGGAAAATTAACCTAGTGTAGAAAGAATAGTAAATTATCACATAACTCTAGGCCATAAAATGGCTTAAAGATTACAAGGGAAACACTTTTGCTAATCCAACTTCAATCTGCGTTAAAAGCTCATACTGATCCGGATAAGTTTGTTTACAAATCTAAAAGAAGTACCTAAGATTATGCTGTTTTCCTGCATTATATATTATTTATTGTTCAGCTTAGCAATGGGCAAGGAATACGTTCGATGTTCTAGACTATACTTCTGCTTATGAATCTCTACCAAGATCCCAACGACCAAATAGGCTTTCATCAGCGCTAACAGATCGCTAACCGACTAGTTGTGTTCTTACTTCTCTGGGACAGAACAGTGTAATGTGCTTGAGGCACAGTGTTCAACTTTTTAACTTACTCAAGAAGGTATGCCTCAAAGGACCGCCGAGTTCTTGTTACTGACCTAACGATGATCCATCGTTGATGGTCTCATACTTTACATTCCAAAATTTCAACCTGTTACCTTTAGCATGAGACATTAATGGGACTTAAACACCCGGTTGGAATCCCATGACGGTTGTAAAAATCGAGAATATGTGATAAAAACGGTGCGAAATCTTTAAGTTTTTCTTCTGATCTCTCTTGGTCTTCTGCTGGTTAACTGGTGTTGAAGAAAGTTTTCCTTTCAACTTATTGCATAAAGATGCCACTTGCTCTTAACATTTACTTTTACGATTTGTAAATTCTTACATATAACCAATTATCCTTTATTGTTCTTTATTATTCCTTTGACAAAAGATTTTTTCATGTTGTCGAGAATGCTTCAGGTAATGAGCAGAGTTTTTGGTGAATCTTTTCAGGTCATTATGATATAGCGGTGGATGAATATCAAAAAAAACTTGCAGACTACTTCCTAGTGTTATCTTATTTCAAGTTAACCATCCACTCCATTCACATTTTTTCTCTTGTATATATTTGGGTAGGACAAAACATATTAGAATCCTTCCACTCAAACAAAAGTATAAAAGCTTTGATATATCTTATTTAGCAAATATACTATGCGACGAACAAATGGTAATTATTGACTTAGTCGAAACCTGTAGTCTTATCTTATTAAAAAGAAACATTTAATCTAAGTTCCAGATATTATGTTTACTTATGTTTGGTAAAGGTATTTATGTATGCAATTAGTGTTGTCATATTTCTTCTTTCGTTTTCTTGAACTTTTTGAAATATTTTGTTCTGAGAATTCCATATTGCACTTTACATATGACATTGAACACAGCTATTACTTTTATTGTCATTCTGAATAGAGTATTTTCTAAATCTGTATGTATTATGATTTGAAGGTTCGCTCAACCACTCAAATTTAAGCATTTGCTTCCATGAAGTATGTTGGCATTGAGGCTGAATGTGGAAAGGAGCACCAGAGTTTAATATGAAAATGTGTATGACATTTGATCGATCAGAGATCGTGTGACTATTTAACGGCAGTGCATATTTTCACTGGAAATGTGAAAATTCATCTACACGTTTTATAAATCTTGCAAACCTTGGTTTATAATGATTAGTATAAAAAAAGTCCATACATCTTAGGGTGCTACCTAAGTTATTCTTGTTACTTAAGCACTAACTTTGATAAGATTACAACATTCTTGATAATATCGAATATCAAACCAATAAAATGTTTTTTTGACAAATCAGTGAACACTAAGACTCTTTTCACTTAACATATTTTTGTAAATTGCTGATGTATAAAAAAATGAAATACTATTTTATTCTATTTAACTTAAAATGTTAAAATGGTTGGGAAACTACTCGAAAATGAGTAGAATTTTTGAATATTTTTCTCTGAAACATTATTTGCATTACATATGACGCATTCGTATTGAGTTAATTGATGGGTAGTCAGAAATACAATTAATTGGAATATTTCTGTCTTTTATCCATTAATATGTATGTTATATATATATATATATTTAACATAGAAATAAGTAAGTCATTAATTTTCTATGTCTCATTCACTATCATAATTATTCAATTAATAATGATTTGCGCTTAACAATCATACTTAATAAGGAGATATTCTAGTATACATTTTCTAAAATAGTTTTTTATATAATGATTGCTTATCGGTACAAAATTGTTATGATATTTTCTAACTAATAAATTCATTCTTTTAATTAGAATGTATATAAATGATATCCTCTAAGACAATAATAACAGAAATAGAATATTTCTTTCTTTGTTGTAAAGTGTATGTAATTAAGTGTAATCAGGCTGTACAATATAAATTAATCAACTTCTGTCCATTCGAAATATCAATTCATTAGTACTGAATTAATTCATATCATGCTTTAAATATAAACTATTCACTACACTTCAATTATTTCACTGATTGTAAAAAGTTAACTGTTTTACTTTTGATTGCATCATAGTTTACAGTTGTTGTCTTTTCAATATGAATAAAATATCTTAATTGTAAATTCTTTAAAAAAAATTGCTTCTGTGTGTATTGCTGCAATAATGTTATATTTGACGAATTATGCAATGTATACTTCTTATATGACTAATGCATCAGTTGCGCAATTATTTAATAAATTTGTCATTTTATTGATAAAATTAATTTGTAGATTGAATTTTAACTATTTAGAATAAATATATGCTTTTTGTTCAATCGTCAATGATGTATCACATGAAAGTATTTACATTTCAAATACTTCGCCTTTTTTTAGTTTAAGGTTAACGTATAACAGTTTTATTTTACAGTAATAACTGGTTAAATGACTGTCTTAGTAAATGATTAAACGAAAGAATTTCGCCTTAAAAAACAATAATGTTATATATATTTTCGAAGTGAATAAACATCCATTCATTATTATGATAATTCTTAGAGGGTAAAAAGTGTTTCAGCTGTATGCGAATCAGTATGACTATATCAAATGCGTTTGAACTTTATTACTAATCATATGCAAATAATGCAGTTTGAAGACATTAGATTTGACTAAAAAATTAATATCAGTAGTTCTAAGATGAGTGTACATCTGACACCTATTTTCGCACTAACCACAGATCAAATCCTGTTTGGTCGTAAGGTGTTTATTAATTGAGTGAATATTATATTTGGTTTTTATATAGTCATTATTCTGATTCATAATTCATAAGTGAACGTATCTAAATTGATATTTCATACTTTTCACTGTTCATTCACTTTTTTTTAACAGTACAAAAGAAGGCAAATGAACCTTTAATGGAATCACATCAATCCTTAATGAGGTAAGTCACAAAACCTACTGTCAACTCAAAGCTTTATAAAATAATTATGATTTAACTGTTAAACATCTTTGTTACCTGGGTATATTTGTTTCTCTACATATTCGTATTCATAAAATTTTGATAGCTGCTGGGGTGAAAATGTTTCCGAGTTTCTGATTTAACAAGACAAATCCAAATTTTCAAGCCAACATAAATTCTATACACATCACAGATAACTCACTTTAAAGTGTATCAACAAATACAGTTTTAGTTTACATTTTCCAGTATCGTTTGACTACCATTATCGAAGACTATCTTCATCAAACATAATCGCTCTGCTTCAAAATGAATAGTATTATCTAAATTAAAGTAATTACTGTAATTACTGGTACTTTGACTCATAAAATACAGTGATTTTCAGTGATATTATAAGCCCTAGTACGCCTCATATCAGAATGTAAATTGACAAGAAACAAAGTAACGTAGTAACCCTCTCGACAGTCAGAATACTTTGCATAACTTGTGTTAAACTGTATCACCTATCCTAATGGCACAAATCCATGAAGTCACTGACAAATGAACTGAGTCATGTTGGTTGGTGTAGGCTACCTGGTTGGTGTCCGCGAGACGAAAGTCACCAATGGTTTGAGACCTTGAATGACATGGCTCAGAATCGTTTGCATTGGTGCAGGTGCATCCACTCTTTGTGTTCTCTCTAATTCTAACCTTCTCAATTCCTCATAATCGCCATCCTTCTCTTTCTAAACTTATCTCACTGAATTATACTTCTCAAATCATATCTTCGCTCCCTAATCTTCTCCATTACTGCTAATACTTCTATTATCGCTATCACTCTTGGATTTGAATTGACAGTTGCGTCTCTGTGCTGATGTGGTATGGCGACCTGAACTGATGTACTTACGTACGAAGTTCTGCGTTGTATTTGTTTGTCTATCCTATCCTAATGTGATAAATTTCTCAATAGTTTTTTTAAAAAAAGATTTGAGTGGTAATTTTGAAGTAGATACTCAATTTAATATCAACTAAATTACAACCCATATATCATTGAATGACAGATACCGTTGATAATATTACGGCTCTCCATTATTTTGATGCTTAAATATTATTTTGAAATAAAATTTATACAGTTTTTTTCAATTTGAATTTAGTTTTTTTTTTGAGGAAAAAGGAAATAAATTTTAAATGTAATATTTATGAAAATGATATTGAAAGACAATCTATACAATAATAGTACAAGGCTACTTACTCATAAATCCATGCTTGTATTTTTAATGTTTGAATAAACTTTTTTTGTTTGCTCTATCATTGATTTATGCATGAGCTACTCTCATTCATTCATTCATTCGTTCATCCATTTCATTTCATTTATTCACTGTCTTTCTTGCATTTACACACATGTAGACAATCCCGTATCTTGAATAGTCTCAAATGAATGTAGCTTAACAAAACCTGTACCTTTGTGTGTTTGAATGTTATTATTTTCGTGAATATTGTTATTTTTATTTTCGGTTCGTTGTTCCAGATGAATAATTTTAACTGTCTCTATTCATTTTTGTTTTATTTATCTGGCTATGTGATTGAACATTTAACTACTCACTCGTATGTTAAGCGTGAAAATTGCGAAAAAGCAAAACATTAAATAACATTAGAGAATCTTTAGGGATTGTCAATATGTAGAAGCAACCACATGTGCTATCATTTTTGTCATCAATTTGAAATGAGAATTTTGTTGACTTTTTTGTATTGGAAAAAAAAACTAATTAGATTTCTTCTTATCAGCTTAAAAATTAATTAGATTTGTTTATTTCCTCATGATTACAAGGAAGAAATGATGTTGCTTAAGTACACAAGTAACTTTTACCCGAAATGTATGAAATAGGTAGAAAAGGTATACAAATGTGAATTTCAAGGATGATATTTCATTTATACAGAACTAACATTATCTAGGAAACTATTTTTTACAGAGGTATATTCTAGGTTATGTACTGATTAGAGTTGAAATTCAGTTTATCTAAAATAAAATAATATAAATTTATGTAAACAATCAGACAAACAAGTATACATTTTGTACAATGGAATCGTTTGCACAAAAAATATTTCTTTCAATAACCAAACGTTAAGTTTATTTTCAGTTTTCTGGTTCGTTAGCTTCCTCAATTATATCCATTAACTTTGTAAGTTATATTATCCACTCTGCAGTTAGTTAACTGATTAAGTGCATTTCATTTGAAGTGTAAAAAAAAGCACTAAAACATTTAAAATTATAAAATACCATAAAGCGTGTACACTGAAAAAGCTTATAAAATTACATATGTAGACAGCAAGTATTTATTCATAGATATCTTTGAAGTATAGCTGGAGTAAATTGATGACAGTATCAATTGAGTCAGCATAGGTTAGTAGGTGACAATGTCAACTTAACTGATAGAGTAATCATGCTCATATAAACATTTTCATTTGGGTTAACCGAGGAAAAATCAGTGACAGACAGATCAGGACATGATATCTCTTCATTTATAGTAGAATATAATGAGTGACAAATGAAATAAGCTTATTCATAGATTTTCATAACTTAAAGTTAGAGTACTGTTGTGCGTTTCGTTCTTTAATATCGTTATCATGTTCAGGCTCTCATTGTGAATGATATTGTTTGTTCTTATTGATCTGTCACTCAGTTAACTTCCGCTATTTCTGTTTTGAAATAATTCACGATGTATTAGATATGTGGTCATTTGTGTCAGGTCGATTGACACTCACTCATATGACGTATGCAACTGTAGTGAAATACTTTTGAAATGTAAAGTAATTTCTGGGGCTATTATTAAATAACCATGACGCGCTGAACTCAACTCTCACTACAAATAACTCTCCATTAGCGTGAACAAAATGTTATTAAAAATGTGAAATATTTATTGATTGACTGTATCATTTGTTGATATTTCTAATGCAATCAAAAATGAAAATGCCATAATTTTTGGTTTCTTCTGTAATCCTCGATGAAATTTTAGTTATTCTATTTCCAATCATCACTACTGGCAACAGTACTAGTATAAAAAGACAAATATAATCTTTTTTTTCAAGTAGAGTTATGGAGATGAGAGTTTTTCACCCACTGAAATTATCGGTGAATCATTGTGGTCTAACAATGATTGATCGGTGATTTCAACGTGTCGAAAACACTAATCTCCGTAACTCTGATTAAAAATCGTAAACTGTGCTCACTAGTGACTAGCTTCGTGAGGAAATTCTCAAAGTTCTATTGAGAAGATGTGATCAGTGGAGTCTAACCCTTTCGGGTGTAGGCAGTAACTACCATGGAAAAATGGATGAGGTCACGCAGAATCTCTAGATCAATCAGAGTTAGACATTAACACCGTTGGATGCCGGCCCAGTGGTCCAAAGGTTAGGCGTTCGTGCACTATAACAAAGGTCCCGGGTTCGAATTCTGAGAGGTGCAGTAGTCGTGGATATGCACTGCTGATGAGTCCCATATCAGGACAAAAGGCCATCTCTCTGTGCTTTCCGATTTCTAATGGGGTTCTAACAATGATTGATTGATGAGAACAATGTGTAAAAAAAGCAAATATAATCGAAAAAAAAGTTAGAATAATACTTCATTTTCATTTAGTTATACACTGATAATTAAATTTTAATATTTCTTTGATTAGTTAAAAATTATGTCTGAAAAATATAACAAAAAACAAAATAGATAATAAAGTACATTTAACAATGTAGCATAGATGAAACAATAGATATCAACACTATCAACTACCAAAATAGAAAAAGTGTAGACAGATTGAAAAAAGAGAAAAGAAAGTGCTTATTTCAAAATATATTGTTCCCTTTCTCTTCTCTCAAACCTTAAATATCTGTTAGATTTTCTTTTCTAGACAAATTCTTTAAAATCCTTTTTCCTTATTCTTTTTTAATTTTTTCTCCGTTCAAGTGTAATTGAATATTAATCACTTTTATTTCTTGTCTTATCCTAACTTTCATCATAGACTTCTCTTTTTTTCCTTTGTTTCCGATTACCTCTATTCTATTCTCTATTTCTTTCTTTTTTTTGGTTAAGTGTTAATCTAATTTTTATTTGTTTTTTTTTAACTACCAGAAGAACTTTTCAACACACTGCAAAAATTTATTAATTTAATGCATAAACAACAGTGTTTCCTATCTGATTTCTTCTTTTGATGCTTTAACAAAAAAAAACAAACAAAAATTGTACTGAATTGAAGATTATGGAACAGATTACTGTAAGAATTCATTGTAAGCATTTCATAGTGTGTCATGGATGAGCACTTGGCTAAATTGATTTACCAATGGCATTACTTTGTACTAAAAAAAAAACAATTATTGAATACTTTCTTAGGAATCTTCAACCTTTATTTCCAAAAATACAATAGTTGAAGGATGATGCTAAAGTTTTTGTTCTAGTTAAGTAAAAAGGCTTTTTTCTTATCATTTCCTAAACTGTTTCTTCTTAAAATACTGTAGTTTTAAAATTGCATTCGGAAAAAATTATTGACTCCAATGGGTAACTGTTAAAAATCTAAGATATGATATCGTTTGTCTAAATCCATATGAAATAAGCAATTAGATTAAGAACAGTTAATGGGATGCACCCATTGGATTGGCTAGTTCAATCATGTAACTTATGAGTGTTGGATCTCAGGTACGAAATCCATTATGTCTAGTTTAATTGCAGAAAGATTTTTGTGCTGTGGTTATCTACATTAAATACACTATTCAATTCAAGATCAGTGATTATTTTTTGAAAGCCTGAGAATTTAATCTACAGGCACTTAAAAAAAACAAACTTTCATTTATTCAATTTATCAGGCTTTGGTAGTTTAGGTCAAACAGTTGTTAACCAAGCAAACCAAACAATGCAAATGTGTAAATGAAGACAACAAAGCCCCTGAAGGTATCCATTAATGACGAAGGTCATTCGAACGGACTAATTCAACATAATGTCTTTAAGAGCGATGCAGTTCATGTATGTTATTAGATGTGCCGCTTTTTTCAAAAATAAGTTCCCATATTACTAGAATGTTCATCAGACATTAGTAATTAAAATTATTTCTCTCCTCATTTGAGTAATTTCATTTTTCATTCTTCTGATTTGAAGTAAACCAACTTGAATCAAGACACGGAAATGATTGTGTACAAATTTCAACAAGGGCATTCATTTCACATGATTTGTTACACTTTTCTTACATATTTCTTATAACTGAATTCTGTTCTTAAAAAATCCAATCAATTTCATGGCTTTAAATTGATCTCATTCTCACGTTTCATCTTAATTATAACTAAACTAAAACGTGACGTATGAAACAAAGCACTTCAAATTCTAATTATCAAGTAACATGTTCAATATTGCGCAAGTTTGTTTAAAAAAATATATATATTTTTTTTTACCGTAGCATACAAAATTAAATTTATTAATTTTAGTAAGTTAAATACAAATTTGACTGACATGATATTAATTTAAAATAATTATAAAAACCACCATTTCGATTAGACAAAAAAACAAATTCAGATTCAATGCAGCGATAACATGTAACAAAGGTATTTTCAAGAAAAATAAAATAAATGCAGAACCACAAACCTGCAGTAATTTTATTAAGTTTTCATCGAATGACTACAATCTGGAATATTTAATTATCGAAAATAATTCATGCAGTCTAGTGTATGCGAGTATTGCACAACGAATGATTGTATAGTATTTCAGTTGATTATTCTATATTCTGATTTTCTGAAAATATTTATGGTACACATTTCTTGAATACGATAAATATGTGATGATATTATAATATTTTCTGATTAATTTGTAAACCAGAAAATTTCTTTTAATTCATTGAGGAACTTTTATGAAAATAAGATTTTTATGTGCTTTATGCTTGTACACACCAAAAGTGAAATATTTTCCCATCATATTCATTATCCAAAAGCTAAATTTCTGAAGAATATCATACAAACCTTGAATGTAATATTTCACTTAAGGTTTTTTTGTTTGCTTCGAAACTGACTTTTTCAGCCCTGAATATGCTCAACCGGAAGATCCTGACGCTCAATTTATCTATCATCTTCCAGGACACAACTATCAAGCTTATTCAGAATCAAGGCATTCGTTAGGTGATCCACTGTCACGACCCACTAATGACGATATGGATGGAGATGAAAGTGAAGATCAGTGGTCTCCTAGTGAGTCAGAAAGTAAGTTTTTCTTATCATCATTAACTTTTCCTCATAAGGATATTTGAAATTAGGGTTTTTAACTTGGAAAGATAAAATTGTTTTTTATTTAAAGAGAAAGCCATCCAACTTCATTGTACTATTCAGCCAGATGGTTTTTAATACTAGTGTACTGAATAATCGTACTTCGATTTTCATGCTGCGAAATAGGTGTATAAATACATTTGGTATAATTAAGGCTAACTTGTAGACAATAAATTTTATGAAGAAAAAAGATTAAAAAGTTTGAGGGTACGAATGTGGATGACTACATGTCATTGAAAAATCAATTGTTTAGTCAATCATTTTTCAATGTAAATTAACTGGCAGTTTGATATAAGCTTGTCACTATTTCAAATAGATTAGTTCAAGACTGGTTATCCAATGTTTATTCATTCTTAGATTCGATTACTTACAGCGTTAAAAGTCTTATTTTTGAATGTTTTCTTACTTTTTTTTTAGCAATCCGAAATCGCAGAATACAAAATCAAGTGACTGATAATTTCAAATCCGAATCTGAAAGATCGCCTGGACCAAGTGATAGTGAAATAGGTCAAGATAATTATACTAGATCACGAAATATCCCACAAATCGCAACACGCAGTAATCGACTATCTTCGTCACGAAATCGTAATACAATTCGTGACATGAATTCTTCTCACTCCTACATCGCAGACGATCCTACAATAATCTAGCAACTAGCTGTAATACTTTTTATCTTATGACAATTTTATGAATAAAAACTTATTTATATATATTCAGTACTCTAAACCAGAAAAAAGTTCGGATTAGTTATAAATAAATAATGTACTTCTAGAGATGTTTTTGAATAAGTTGATATGTTTCAGGGGTTCTAATGCATTAGAAAATCTTCACTCAACACTAAGCCTGTTTGAGGGGTTCAAGGTGCGCATAGAAGAAAATGGAAATGATAGTTTTCCGATTGCCGAAATTTCAAAGACAGAATAGTTACTCTTGACTAATTATCTCCGAAATCTTTTTATCATGTTATTTTGTTATTGTTAACATAATCACCTAAAATGTCAAAGTGAAATTATTCGGTTGAATTTGATCATACATAAATACAGTTGTTTTATCTATAAATTCTGGTAAATTGTATCTTACTGAGTGTGTGTTCCTGGCAAATGTGTAATCATGAAAGTCTTTTAACACAGAAAGTTCCTATCAATATCATTCAATATTTTTTATCATCTAAGTCGTATGCTCCAATAAATCAGGGTCTATATCTCCCTGAAGGATGATCATTGGATTACTAGAACTCACTATAAGAAATGTTAAAACCAGCAGATTTACTCATATATGAACGTAACTACTAATTCAGGTTGATTTCTAAAACGTTCTAAAATTGTCCAAAAGTGATGTGTTAGTCCTTGTATATAGTTTAGTCACATTTTGGTCTCGCTTAAAGTATATATATATATATATATATATATATATATATATATATCATCGAACGCTGATTGATATAGGCTGTAAGATCCATTTTGGAATGCTTTGTTTGTGAAAATCCCTCCATGTATACATTTGTAATTTTTCTCTATTGATTCCTTCGGTTGTACATTTTGTTAATCTGTTCGATTCCATTTTGAGATGATAATATTTGTATTTTATTATAGTTTTTATTTCTTCTGCCTTTACTGGGTTTCCATGTTTCTTTCGGAACTGCATTATGTTGTTTAAGCCGATACTTAGTCATGGTGACAGCCATATTGATTTGTTCCTCTTTTGATAGGATTGCTTGCTTTGACTGGAATTGTGCATTTTGATTGTGATTTGAAGCACTCTTCTAGAATAAGAAACACTTTGTGTTATAAAGCGACCAAATATTATCTGTCGAACGAATCTGATCTATCCAGGAGGGATAGAATATCATTTATTTGAATAATTGAACAATCGGTCGCAAATCATTTCAATATGAGATTTAATTAGATGAGTGCCATCTGAAACATTTATTTTAATTGTATGGTGACATTCAATGATTCGAAATTCATATTTCAAAAATCATTCCATTAGTGTTTAGTAATAAAGTTTCTTCGGCTACTTCATACCAATACATAGTAAATTGAAGTCACAGTGTTAATGTGCTAGCTCTGTAATGACGAACATTTAATAAAATGTATATGGATATTTTAGCCATACGATTTAATGTAGTAGGTATGTAGATATCGACCAATATATTAACAATGTCACAGTAAAATATAACGAAGGGTATAAAATGTGAAATAACTTCGATAGTAACTTTAAAAGAACTAGTGTAATTAAATTAAATCTGAAATGGTGTGGAATATCTGATTGTTTGACTGAAATCTGATCAGTCGTAGCTCGTAAGTAGAATTCCTGTGCAGACTATTTTTATATATTTTATTTACATGTTGCGCGGCCCGAGATCTGGACTCTAGTTTTGACGAACAACTGAGTATGCTGTGCAATAAATTTCTCATCTGATTTCTGTATATCATTCTAATGCGAACCTCATTTGTGCGACGGTGCTAATAAGCAGCGCAATGTGGTTTATTTTGGATGAATTTATGCCATACATTCAGTTAGCAGAAAGACACTAGAATATGAAGCACAAATGCGAAAAGAAGCAATGAAGAGGAAAGGGATAGTGGGCCAATCCAATGTGCTGAGGCATCACTTAGTATCTATATAGCCAGACAAAACTAAACTAGACATGTGATGAACAAAGTTAACAATGCACTCAGACACAGGTAAATCAACCAAAGTTACAAGGTCGAAAGACGCATGAATAACTCGAGAGTAGATTAATTAATTTGTCCGAAGGCTGGGACAAGCCAATATGGGCTTGACTTATGAATACGCCTTATACAAGGATTGGTGTAGATGATATGTTACGAAGTTTTCAATCGATTTAATGCTGTAGAAATATATTACAGACATGAAAAGTGTGGGATGTTTCGAGACATCTCACTGATACAGGATATCAATTATTAATTTCGTCCAGCTACAACACAAATGAAAGCTAGTTATGGATTCAGGATTCATAGAGCCGAAAACGTTTACTGTGATTATACGTAGAAGAACGAAATTCTACTCTTTATCACATAATTTGTTGAAAAGCTGTTGTCTCAATCCATCTAGTTTACTCGATAAAACGTTGTGATTATTTTATTCGCAAAAAGTGTTTAGTTCTATCTTTCATAACGTACCTTTACTTGCCTATACCTTGAACTTACTTTACCTTTACCCTTAACTTACCTTGACTTAACTTTACAATAAACTGGTCTATTTATTATCTCATAATTTTTCGTTTGGTATCAGCTCCATATTCACTGTAGTTCTCTGTTTGGTTGATTTTAAGGAGACTTTGATGGTCCTCATTCCATAAGGTTCCCATCCTATAAGTGCTGTTAGTGCGACATCCATTGTGTTTCATAGATTCCAAGTACCACCAGGTTGTATCGTTTCATTTCCTCAACAACTTGAATGGTTCTTCCGGCATCCCGCATTGTGTAGACATTTCATGTACTCGTGTTTTTCCGACTGTGAGAGGGGTTATCGGCCTCGTAACTTCCAAAGAAACTCGACTTTCATGACGAAGCATTACAACTCTTATAAATAAAGACCCTTCAGCTATAAGTACACAGTGTAAATTGTTTGAATTATTTTTCTGGTTAGCGTTATTCTAGCGAGCTGATTTTTACGGGATGAGATCGACATTAGGTCACATAGAACTTCTGTAGGAGTTAACAAATTCACTTTGGAATATGAAAATAAGCATAATGCGCTCTCGTTTTTGGATTGCTCCGTTAAGGGAAATCTAATTTGATTTAACAATTTATTGTAAACTACATACTAAGCATTATATTGACTTCAGTTGAACATTATTTATTCAAATTCTCTCTGACTCTAAATTTCTTTTGAAGAGCGACTAAGATTATTACATCAGAAAAGAATACTCAAGGGGAATGGAAGCAAATAACATCTTATGTTTTAATAATTATCTTATGAATGTTATTAATGAAGTAATAAAACGATTTGAATCATTACTAACATCATACATTTGTCATAACATGCTGTTGTTATTGAATTCAATATCTTAATTACCATCAAACTTACCACCAAACAGAACTGGACATAAAACTGTGCATCAATAGGCATGACTTACAGGATACTTGTTTTGAGAATCATAAAAAATAGTACTGATTTAAATTATAGTCGGCAAACATGAAGAATTATTTAAGTTTTTAGAATTCGCTTATCCTACCTTACTGTTCTGATTTATGACTGGTATTTATATTATGCTAATTCCGATAGATGATATAGGATTTTTAAAAGGTACCTCTCATTATATTTACAGGATAATTGACGCGCTTGTAATGACAGAATATTCAGGTAGGCATTTTAGAACAATAGGCAATGAAATATTTGCTTTGATCTTTTCTTTCACTAGTGAATGAAGATAAACAAAGGTGAACTAATAGATAAAATTTCAAATTTAGAAGATATTATATCTGTGGGTACTTCCATAAAACTAGCAGGCTCTAAAATGTAGTCTTTAACCCAGAACTGGTTCAAGTTGCTCAACCACATCGGGAGAGAGGATAAAGTTAAGAGGATAAATGATCGAGAAGTAAAAATGATAACAGCAGAATTCGATTCAAGAGGAGAATAGCTCTCGGGATATCATTAATTCACAGTTATGGTAAAGTACCAACACAACTACCACAAACTCCTAGCAGACGTTTAATGGCGACACAGAGTTGACACTATTGCGCTTATACTTAAGTTTGCGAATTAATAAACATATGACTGAATATTTACCACTTCTTAAGGTAAGATCTTGTTCTTTGTATTAAACGATGTCTGAAGCGAAAAAAGAGCAATAAAGTTTTCATAAGCGACCGGTAAGTGAACTTTATCTGCGAAAGAAACTACCGAATATGGATCCCATTGCAAGTAAAAACTGCGAGATTCTAGATTACGGCTGACAGTCTACAGTTAATATCACTAGTGTGTAACTGACACAAAGATCAAGCATGGAGAGTGACTGATGATATCCAACCACTTATTTTTATATCTTCAATGAATTAAATAATCATATGTTTTGTTCCTGAGAACGATTACGCTATTTCAGGGTTTTTTTAGATTATTATACTAATTAACCTTTGTACCTTTAAAAAAATACAAATAGAGTAGTTCAGCTACAAGATCTCTTATCGGCAACTTCATTGAGAAAGCCTGCATTATTTTATGATGGTAATTATTATTGTGTGTTCACACTCGGGAAGATGCAAGTAAACTTGTGTTCATATGTGACTGCAATCAGAGTTGTAACTTATGAAGAAGTCCTAAATTTTTGTCGAGCCTTCCTAACAATTGGCTTGCAAGGAAGATAAATTTATAGCTATCGCTTGGTCTGCAAAATCTTGTTTTATTCCTAAAATCGTTTATTTTAAAATTAAATTGTTCATGCATAATTTCAGCCGAAATTCACTGTTATCTGTTTACTAAGCGGTAAATAAAATAATTTTTCGTTTCTTAATCATTTAACCTAGGCCTAAATACGTGGGTGTTGAAATAACTTTATACGCTTAATTCGTTTGATTAGGAATTATGATTCATAGACATATCATTAGTACCGTTAGTATGTATGGAAGTTAATGAAGCCATGTAGAGAGAGCTGACAGTAGAAATACTGTAAATAAGAAAA